CCCCATCCGCTGGGAGATCAAAGGGTTTTACCAGTCTGGGGGCATTACCCACTGGGGCCATGCCGCCACTAAAGGCAAAACAATTGATACAGCTGGAGTTATTCTGACTACAAACTAGGCAAACAATAGATAAAGCTTGAAATATACTGACTACAAACTAAGTTAACAATAGATACAGTTTGAAATATACTGACTACAAACTTGGCAAACAAAAGATACACCTGCATATATTCTGACTACAAACTAGATTAACAATAGATACAGTTTGAGATATACTGACTACAAACTAGATTAACAATAGATACAGTTTGAGATATACTGACTACAAACAAGGCAAACAATAGATATAGCTTGAGATATACTGACTACAAACTAGGCAAACAATAGATACAGTTTGAGATATACTGACTACAAACAAGGCAAACAATAGATACAGTTTGAGATATACTGACTACAAACAATAGATATAGCTTGAGATATACTGACTAAAAACTAGGCAAACACTAGAATTGGAAAACAACAGATACAGTTGGAGATTTAATGATAGTAAAGATTAGTTGGAAATATACTGACCACAATTAAACTCATCAGAAGAGTCCTCACATTGACTCACTTGGTCACAGACTTGTGATTCTGGTATACAACTACCAAGTCCACAGTGAAATTCATCAATAGCACAATAAGCTAGAAGTTGTGGGAAAAATAAATTACATTCAATAAGTTTGACAATAAATGATTCGCTGGTTTATATCATTTCCTATGTTGACATGTGTCATTTTTAACAAAAAGTAAGAATATAAGAAACTAGCATATCATCTTTTAAGTACAGTAAAATCCCCCAATTAAGACCAACATCGGGACTGGACCAAAGTGGTCTTAATTGCGGGGTGGTCTTAATTGTGAATATTCTTATCACTGCTTACACACTTTTGACCATGGTCTATTGTAGTCATTTTGGATGAACAAACAATATGTATCTTAACCTACAAATACAATATAAAAGTGTGTTATAATTTAACATCTGATGGGAAGAAAGACATCTAATATCAAATTCTATGTGGTCTAATTTGAATATTAATTATTATATGTTGTACATTATAAATTCACCCATCAAATAGAAAATTAATTCTTTGCATAATCAACATGCTTAAAGCAGCATTCAACCACTATAAAATTTACTTTCTCATCTGATTTCATACAATATCCCAATGATATAAGGTGTTATTGACACGTAATGAAATCAAGTGTCATGCCTAAGAGCATTCAAACAGATAATAACAACATAACAACACATTCAAGATCTACGTAGGTGTTCGACTTTAAATCAGTGGTCTCAACTGTGGGGTCAAATCAAGAACAAAACAAAGAATTGGGACTGAATCTGGTGGTCTTAAAGAGTGTAGGACAAAAAGCCCCCCATTTAAAAATGACAAGGTGGACAAAAGCCCCCACCCCCATTAAATTTACACATAGGACAAAAGCCCCCCCTAAAAAAAAACAGGTAGGACAAAAGCCCAACCAGTCCATCAAACAAAAGCCCCCCTAAGGTCTATAGACCAGACTGATTACTATAATTACTATCATTTTTCACACGCCCAGTGTTTCGGGACCTTGGGTTATACTTCAAATAAATCTATACAAGTATCCGCCTTTCACTTATTTCCTTGATAAGCGTTGATAAGCGATTCTCTTAAAATATTCATTTACATTTGTACTGTACAATATATAATAAACACAAGCATTTGATAGTATTGCGGGCAATACAGTAGTCCCCTACCGGTCCCTCAAAAAGTTCTTTAATTGTCATACACTCCTGTGTATTGCCATTTATAATGAATTTGAAGGATGAAGTCTGTATTTGAAAAAATCGACCACAAAAACATAATAAAATAAGTTTGTTTATATCACAGTAATGTGTTAAGTTTCCATGCTTAGTAAGGAAATTATGTTTATTACAACCTTGTCATATTATTACGATGTGGGATTTTAAAGTAAATCTATAAGGAATGAAGAAGTTGGAGTGAAAATACCAGTTTTTCTCGAAAAAAAATCTAAGTTCAAGGGGGACATAATTCTGGAAATAGTCTTGCTAGAGTATTTTAACCTTCTCAAAAATGTCGAGTGATAATAAGAAACATATATATGAAGTTTGAAGTAGATACATTAGGAAAATAAAGAAGTTATTTAAAAAAAAGACAACATTTTTTCCCCTAAAAAATCTAAGTTCAAGGGAGGTAATATTAATATTTTTTGTGCTAGAGTTATAAACCTTGTCACATATGATGGTGGTTGATGACCAGGAACTTATATTTAAAGTTTGAAGTAAAAACACCTTAAGAAATAAAGAACACATAGAGTGAAAAAGCTGAAAATTTAAATCAGAAATCTTGAAATTCAGGGCTATTTGTTGCCATAGCAACCAGAATTTTCAACATAGGAAGAAAATAAAAAGATGTGCATAATCTCCAGACTGCCATCTACCCATATTTCAAGTTTCATAAAAATATTTTTCAGTACTTTTTGAGTTATCACTGGATCCAGTTTATGTGTTAAATTTGCCATATTTTCAGACTATTTGTTGCCATAGCAACCAGAATTTTCAACATAGGAAGAAAAAAAAAAGACGTGCATAATCTCCATACTGCCATCTATCCATATATCAAGTTTCATAAAAATATTTTCAGTACTTTTTGCGTTATCGCGGGATCCAGTTTTGTGGACGGACGGACTGACGGACTGACAGACTGACAGACAGACGGACAGACAGACAGACGGACAGACGGACGGAGGGTAAACCTAAAGTCCCCTCCGGTTAAACTGGTAGGGGACTAATAAAAACATTTATATCATCAATGAATTACAGTAAACTTCATTTATAGCGAACACGGTTATAGCGAACTTCCGGTTATAGGGAACAATTTATTTTGGCTCGAATTTTGCCCTTCTTTATTTAATATAAAAATATATGGTTATAGCGAACACGGTTATAAGGAATTATCGCTTAAAAGGAACTCATTTCTTAGTCCCAATTTAGCTAATAGTACAGAAAATTACACTTTTATAACAAACTCCAAAATATTGGCTATCCGTAAATAGATCCTGCATTTTCAACTTTCATTTTCATTCGCACGGATTAAAACTCGGGTGAATGTACCGTTTATCGTTGTATTTACTTCAATACATCTATTCAAATGAATTAGTATAGTTTTCTATTTAGGACATTTTAAGCATGAGCTCTTTTCACCAAGATAAAATGGTTATTTATTTATTTTCTTCAATAGTTTTGCTCGAGTAAAATAATTATAATAATTTATGTTTGGTTTTCAACATAATCATGCATGCCTGCAAGCATGATCCATTGCAAAATGCAAAAGACTCTTGATTTAAATGAAAAGTAATATATATCTTACATTATGAGTCACCCTTAAATTATAATAGAAGATATTCAATATAAAAGGAAGGAAAAATCGAAAGTCTTGTTTATTCTCAATCATGAACGATGGTTAGGAAACTACCCGCCTATATGACTGAAATACTGTTGAAAAAGGCGTAAAATGAAACAAACAAACAAACAAAATTCTCAATCATGGAAAGAAAACGAAAAGAGTTTAGAAACAAAATATTATATTTTATGTGAAATTGAGATAGGGAGTAAAACTAAAACTGAAATAGCAATGATTTTCAAATTCCAAAAAGTACGCTCTCGGGTATAAATGTGTCTAAAATATAAATAAATGACTAATATTTCTATTTCTTAATCAAATACTCTTCAAAAATGGCGGACAATGGTAAACAATCAGTTCGTTATATGTAAATCTGTTCGCTATTAAAACTCCTGATATAAGGAACTAATTCACTATATGCTTACAAGGAACTCCGGATATAAGGAACAGGTTTTGAATGTCCCAGTGAGTTCGTTATAAGCGGAGTTTACTGTATATACAAATTACACAATAAATCAAATTAGAACTTTTGTACCTTTAAATTTAAATCTTTAAGTAAATTATCTTTTAAAACAATTGCATTTATTTGTTAAATTAAACATACCGAATTTGTTTAAATACAATGTCTCAATACATCAAGTTCCGGATTTAAACTGTCAACATTCTCAAAAACCATTGTTTGATGGACTGGGGGGGGGGGGGGGCTTTTGTCCTACCTGTATTTTTGATGGGGGGGCTTTTGTCCTACGTGTAAATTTCATGGGGGGGGGGGGGGCTTTCGTCTTGGGGGGGGGGGGGGCTTTTGTCTGTTTCATTGAAAAGCCTCCTGTAACAAGTTCAAACTGCTATGAAACTATGAAAAATGCTTCAATACTAATGAAACTTGGCACAAATGTTGACTAGACCATAGCCTCTGTAACAGCATGCTCAATTGTAAATTGCCTGATACCATGGCAATGGGGGGACGTCTCAAAATTGCCAAAAATCACTATTTTGCATTGTTTTTTTTCCAGCAAAACTGATTTCAAAGTGCTGAAACTTCTCAATGAATTGAGATAGAGTAAAAGGCTTTTCAGCGTCGGTTACTAGTTACCCTAAGATCGACCTGAGGCCATTTTTAGCCTGTCACATGTCCAAAAATTTCTTGGCGATGAGGGGGACTCTGCCCCCCTTCAAACCCCCCAAACAGAATGGGGGCACATCCCCCTTCTAACAACCCCCTGATGTAACATTTGGATGGGGACCGCGCCGAAAAATTGGTCACTTTTTTTAACAACATTTCTCAAACGAAAAACAGTGTTTTTGGGCCTAAATAGGCCATTTCTTCACTGTTTGAAGCCTCAAGAAGGGGGGGGGGGGGGAAAGCCGTCGAAACACGCTTATATAAGGGAAAAGGTTAAAAGTGGATAAGCAGGGTGGTCTTAACACCTGATTATCTAGCCATTGACATTAAGAACAGAAAATTCTTTACTTATCCTGTACTTATTTACCGTAAACATCCAATTTCATGCTTATTTTCTTGAACATTTTTGAAATATTTTTAAAATCAAATATTGTAAAGTGAACTTAGAAAGTTATTTACACATTGCAAATGGCACTTAAAATCTACAATCTAAAAATAGGTCTTTATATGAGAAAATAGCCCTTACTGTGTCAGTCACCCAGTAGAAATATGATGATACATGTATGCAGTTAATGACTGGTTTTGCAGTATTTATCCTCATATTTATACCATGTGACTAACATGATGTAAACATAATAATGTCTATACAATGCTCCTTATTATTCAAGTAATTTTCTTTTTGATCTAAGAAAATAAATATTTCTTTACAAAGATATTATAATTACTTTAGGAACTGTAAACCTTCAATGAGCTTCAAAATATAACAAAAATAATATTCTTGCATATTAGACAGAATTATCTACTGTTTACACCAGTGCTAGAAAAATCTAACTTCCTTCTGTGTAAGACAAGTAACGTCATACCCGTGCGCTTTCTGTGAATGAATTGCATTATAAGAGTGACATCATTTTGCCATTATGAATGAAGTCCATACCCTACTGTAAGAAAAAAATGTGGAATGGAAATATTACTTTTAGTAATTACTTCCCAAAATATAATTAATATGTTATATGCAAGAAACAGAATCAAACATCGGCTGTCGTAACAGACAAGAATATGTAGCTATAGGGTACTGTCTAGCGGAAACTCAGCAGAGCCTCATGACCACTGTAAACAGTTACCATTGAACTAGATATTCTGGTCTGTACTGACAGCCAGTGCAAGATCCTTATAGTCAAGTGTATCATAAGGTTATTTGTAAAGCTAACAAACTTACTACAATTGCTTTCATCCTCTTCTTCACTGCAGTCTGGTAAACCATCACATAATTTATCACCATCAACACAGTTTCCGTCTAAACACTGAAACCTACCAACACAACCTGAAGTATAAACAGCAGATCTAAACGGCTGACTGTTAAATTGTGAGCATTGTATTATAATATAAATAAATAAATACCACATTTATATAGCGCCCTTTTCATTAAAATGTTCAAAGGCGCTTTACATCAATCATATATGTCTAAAACAATATAAATGAACAGGATTATGAACATTAAAAATATTTTGCATTAACTAATTAAAAGTATAAATTATGGAATTATTTTTACATATTAATACAATATAACTTAAAGATCCTTAAAACTCACTTTACAATATTATTGAATGAATTAATCAGGAAAGTCATTTTCCGCTCTTCTATTTAAGATTGTGTACTCGATGACTAATGTGTCATTTGGTCTCTAAACAATACAAAATATTTTTGAAAAATAAACGAAATAGCTGAAAGACCAGTGATTCAATATTTGCAAAAAATAGAACAGTCTAGCAACTATAAATATCCATACTGATATGTTAGTAACATTAGGGAATGTTGCCGCTTTATATGATTCAGTAAAAACATGTGTGATAGAATTCAAGCATGGCCAGCAGAGCTTCTAGTATGATGCCTGTCTTGAGAGGTTGTGTTACAATCCCTACATGGTCTATAGTAAAGTACAAATATTTCTATGGCTGACATGTGTGTTTAACAGAGATACTGTAAAATCATTATTATTTGTGGGGCACGAATTTTCGTGGTTTTCGTGGTTAGGTCAATCCACGAATTTAAGATCCGACAAACTTTTATCCCAACAAATACTTCTTACCCAGTCTCTGTTCTATATATTACAAACATGCGTCGGCTCTTTTCCGGCCGATATTTCGTGAAATAGATGTAAATACAGACAGATAATCAGGTTAGTGACATATTAAATCCGTTTGCAATATTTAAGAAACTTGAAAGAAAACTCGATTATATGTCCTCAATTTACTGTCACAAATGTCGCATATACATACTTGATCGTTGTAGTCTACTAGGACTTGATTGTGTTAACATAATCGAGTAAATATGGCAAACCCAGGCAGTTCAATAATTAGCGCTAATGAAAATTGTCAGTTTGTTCTTATTAATTAAAAAAATGGTATTTGATAATAATGTCGTAAGTACACAAAACTATAAAAAAAAAATATGATCGCTAAAACAGATTTATTGTACATTTTTTTGTCGTTTTTAAATGATCCAGTTTATATGAATTTTAATCTGTATTTGTGCGAATGTTATTCCGTAAACATCAAAGACGCCACCGACTTTTACAAGATCCACATATACTCGTGTTATTTACCGAGATTAATTTATATGCATGTAAATTTATACAGTCGCTGTGACGTTGCGTGTACTGTCAAATATGTTGTCAACTTTTAAACTCGCTGGTTAAAACCTGTCAGGTGTCGTATAAAATATGAAATGTTTACGTCGGCGAATTACAGGGGGTGTGTGTTCAATGGAGGTGCATATCATGTCACATAAATGTGTTAATTGCAGTCAATTATCGGCAGTAATTGTGCTATATTAGAGTTATGCCCAGAGGCAAGGATTAAATTTATTGACAAGCGCTGTGTGACAACTTTACATGTTGTAAGTAAAATGTTCGGCGATTAAGTTTAAGATTACTTTGCATTAGGTTACTGAATTTTTTTTAACAAGAAAACGAAAATCCACGAATTTAAGAACCCACGAAAATGCCCGTTTTGACAAAACCACGAAATTTCATGCCCAAGAATATAAGTGAATTTGCAGTATATAACCAGTACAGTTTGTTCTTAATGAAGACCTGGTAATGAGATTAAGCTCTCAGTTTGTTAGGTACAAAAAACTTCCGAGAGTTGATCAGGAGCACACCAAGCTGACTGTTGCATGCTTAAATCCAAAACTTTAACAGTGTTATCTTAATACAGAGATTTACGACTATGTGTTAAATAATGCACCATCATTTCACCCAGAGGCAAAACAATAATTAATAAAAAAACCTTGATTTACCCCTACAAAAGATGGCAAAGACTGGAAAGTTCTTGATCTCAGTGTTTTCTAAGATATTGATTGTATTCTGATAATAGAACACAAAAAGGGACAACAATCTGTAGCACACATTATGCATTATTTCTTAGGCAGACAATGAAACTATTAAACTCAAGTGCTGTGAGTAACTCATTTAATGAAAACTGTTTAACCAGCACTATGATCACAGTTCCATGGCTGCAATTGCAGACTGTGGTGTTGAACATTCCTCTTATCTGCCTGATAAGTGGTGTTGAAGTGATTGGACATTCCTCTTATCTGCTTGATATGTGGTGTTGAAGTGATTGGACATTCCTCTTATCTGCCTGATATGTGGTGTTGAAGTGATTGGACATTCCTCTTATCTGCCTGATATGTGTTGTTGAAGTGATTGGACATTCCTTTTATCTGCTTGATATGTGGTGTTGAAGTGATTGGACATTCCTCTTATCTGCCTGATATGTGGTGTTGAAGTGATTGGACACTCCTCTTATCTGCCTGATATGTGGTGTTGAAGTGATTGGACATTCCTCTTATCTGCTTGAAATGTGGTGTTGAAGTGATTGAACATTCCTCTTATCTGCCTGATATGTGGTGTTGAAGTGATTGGACATTCCTCTTATCTGCCTGATATGTGGTGTTGAAGTGATTGGACATTCCTCTTATCTGCCTGATATGTGGTGTTGAAGTGATTGGACATTCCTCTTATCTGCCTGATATGTGGTGTTGAAGTGCTTGAATATTCCCCATTTCTGTCTGATCTGTGGTGTTGAAGTGATTGGACATTCCTCTTATCTGCTTGATCTGTGGTGTTTGAAGTGATTGAACATTCCTCTTATCTGTTTGATATGTGGTGTTAAGTGATTGAACATTCCTCTTATCTGCCTGATCTGTGGTGTTGAAGTGATTGAACATTCCTTTTATCTACCTGATCTGTGGTGTTGAAGTGATTGAACATTCCCCTTATCTACCTGCTCTGAGGTGTTGAAGTGCTAGAATATTCCCCATTTCTGTCTGATCTGTGGTGTTGAAGTCATTGGACATTCCCCTTATCTGCCTGGTCTGTGGTGTTGAAGTGATTGAACATTCCCCTTATCTACCTGATCTGTTGTGTTGAAGTGATTGGACATTACCCTTATCTGCCTAATCTGTGGTGGTGAAGTGATGGGACATTCCCAACATCTGCCTGATCTGTGGTGTTGAAGTAATTGGACATTCCCCATATCTGCCCAATCTGTAGTGTTGAAGTCATTGGACATTCCCCTTATCTGCCTGGTCTGTGGTGTTGAAGTGATTGAACATTCCCCTTATCTACCTGATCTGTTGTGTTGAAGTGATTGGACATTACCCTTATCTGCCTAATCTGTGGTAGTGAAGTGATGGGACATTCCCAACATCTGCCTGATCTGTGGTGTTGAAGTAATTGTACATTCCCCATATCTGCCCAATCTGTAGTGTTAAAGTAATTGGACATTCCCCTTATCTGCCTGATCTGTGGTGTTGAATTGATTGAACATTCCCCTTATCTGCCTAATCTGTGGTAGTGAAGTGATGGGACATTCCCCACATCTGCCTGATCTGTGGTGTTGAAGTAATTGTACATTCCCCATATCTGCCCAATCTGCAGTGTTGAAGTATTGGACATTCCCCTTATCTGCCTGATCTGTGGTGTTGAAATGATTGAACATTCTCCTGATCTACCTGATCTGTGGCGTTAGAGAAATTGGACATTCCCTTTATCTGTCTGATCTGTGGTATTGAAGTGATTGAACATTCCCCTTATCTGCCTTATCTGCCGTGTTGAAGTGATTGGACATTCCCCTTATCTGCCTGATCTGTGGTGTTAGAGAGATTGGACATTCCCTTTATCTGTCTGATCTGTGGTGTTGAAGTGATTGAACATTCCCCTTATCTGCCTGATCTGCGGTGTTGAAGTGATTGGACATTCCCCTTATCTGCCTGATCTGTAGTGTTGAAGTGATTGGACATTCCCCTTATCTGCCTGATCTGTGGTGTTGAAGTGATTGGACATTCCCCTTATCTGCCTGATCAGTGGTGTTGAAGTAATTGGACATTCCCCTTATCTGCCTGATCTGTGGTGTTAAAGTGATTCTGTCTTACCTGTGGTGTTGAAGTGATTTGACATTCCCCTGCTCTGCCTGATCTGTGGGTTGAAGAGGTTGGACATTCCCCTTATCTGTCTGATCTGTGATGTTTGGACATTCCCCTTATCTGCCTGTTCAGTGGTGTTCAAGTGATTGGACATTATAATTATAATAGGGCATTGCTTACAATCCACCTGATTCATAGTAGGGCATTACTTCCAATCAATCTGATTTATAGTAGGGCATTACTTACAATCCATCTCATTTATAATAGGGCATTACATTCAATCCACCTGATTCATATTAGGGCATTACTTCCAATCCATCTGATTTATAGTAGGGCATTACTTACAATCCATCTCATTTATAATAGGGCATTACATTCAATCCACCTGATTCATGATAGAGCATTACTTCCAATTCATCTGATCTATAGTAGAGCATTACTTACAATCCATCTGATTTATAATAGGGCATTACTTACAATCGACCTTATTTATAATAGGGCATTACTTACAATCGACCTTATTTATAATAGGGCATTACTTACAATCGACCTTATTTATAATAGGGCATTACTTACAATCAACCTTATTCATAATAGGGCATTACTTACAATCGACCTTATTTATAATAGGGCATTACTTACAATCGACCTTATTTATAATAGGGCATTACTTACAATCGACCTTATTCATAACAGGGCATTACATACAATCCATCTCATTTATAATAGGGCATTACATACAATCAACCTTATTTATAATAGGGCATTACATACAATCAACCTTATTTATAATAGGGTACTACTTCCAATCCATCTGATTTATAATAGGGCATTACTTACAATCCACCTCATCTGTTCCATTGTCACAATCATCATATCCATCACAGACTACATCATTGAATACACAAGTTCCATCACCACAATCAAACTGATTACTCTCACAGATATCTGAAATTTAAATTAAAACCATATATTTTATCTTTTATCATATTCATTTTTATCTTGTCTTTATAACATACAGTTTATCTATTCTTTATATATTACAGTATATCTCATCTTTAATTCATACAGTGTATCTCATTCAAATATAATACAATATATCTTTTTTAACCTTATACCTCATATAGATGGGTTTTTTTTCCGGATTTTTACCCCCCCCCCCCCACCACTTCTGAGGCCACTAATAATGAAAAAAATGCCCTATTTTGTCCCCAAACACTTGTTTTATTTTTGAAAAATGTTTTTAAAAAAAGTGAGCGGTCCCCTATGAAAAGGTGACAGAGTGGTGATGTGCCCCATTCAGCTTGGGTGTTTGCAGGGGGTCAGCAGCCCCCTCATCATCAAAAAACTTTTGGACCTGTGACAGGCTTAAATGGCTTAAGGTCTACCTTAACAACCTTTACATAATATGTAAGCAACGCTGACAAGCCTTTGACTCTATCTCAATTCATAGAGAAGTTTTGAAAAAAATCAATGTAAAATAGTGATTTTTGGCAATTATTAGATGTCCTCCTGTTGCCATGGTAACAGAAAATTTAAAATTCGGCACACTGATAGAAAGATTATGGTCAAGTCAATATTTGTGCCAAGTTTGATCAGTATTGAAGTATTATTTATAGTTTCATAGCAGTTGAACTTGTAACAAGAGGCTTTTTAATGAAAACAGCCATTTTTCACAATATGCTTGTGCAGTTAAAGGTAAATATCATACAGTTTATCTCATTTTTATATAATACAGTATATCTTTAATCACTATCACACTGTTTATCTCAGTTTTATATCATACAGTATATCTTTTCTTAATTGAATCATACAGTTTACCTCATCTCTATCACATACAGTTAATTACTTTAATCTTTTTTATCATACAGTGTATCTTGTCTTATATCACAGTATAGTTTGTTTTTGTGTTTTTCAAACTTCAAAGCAACACCAGTGTTAAAAACCACCTCCCATGCTGGAGCTAAGAGATTCATAGACTCCAGTTATTTGAACCCATTAAGTGGCCTCTTACAATCACACAGGGATAAACAATGGCTGCAATTCTTATACCTCAACCATCAAAGGCAACCCCTAAACCACAAGATGCATAAAATATATAGAGGATATTTGTTTGTTTTGTATGTAAGATTGAAATATAATTTCACTGAGTGAACACCAGATGCAATATTTTCACGAGTGGCGTAGCCACGAGTGAAATATAATAGCTGGTGTTCACGAATGAAATTATTTCAATCTTATATGTAAAACAAATAAATTTTCTTTATATTTCATGCTTTTTAAGTGAATTTAAGTATTTTTTACTGATTTTGCCGCGTAACGTCGCGATTCTCCTTTGTGACGTCATCACATCATTACGTCACATCATCAATTTTGAAATATAGTTCTGTTAAATTTTTCTAATTTTGTTACATTTTTAACATGATGTATGGTGACATCGACTTTCTTTTCCTGGAGAAGCAAAATTTACGTATGACAGCATTTATTTCTGCCTGTTATTCCATTTAGTTTAATTTTCTTTTCATCCGCATTCAGATATAGTCCGGCTACAGTGAAAATTATATTTTATAAATTTCACTAGTGGTTAATCAGAATATAATCATCTGATATATTACAATAAAACACTGGAAAGCATGAAATAAAATAAAATATGTAATGGTTATAGTACATTGAAAACAAACCTTTTTTGTGATATTATAATTATTGTAAGTATGATTGTGTATTTTTTTTTAACATATTCTGTACAGAACTATGTAAAGTTATAGTGATTATTGTTGTATAAATACCACAATTCAGTTCATCTTCACCATCAGGACAATCCTCAGTTATATCACATACATAGTCTTGAGAGATACATGACCCATTTGAACAGAGAAATTCACCTGGACACCCTGAAATATATCATTTATACATGGAATCAAACTTAAACCTGAACATCCTGATATATATCATTTATACATGGAATCAAACTTAAACCTGGACACCCTGAAATATATCATTTATACATGGAATCAAACTTAAACCTGAACATCCTGATATATATCATTTATACATGGAATCAAACTTAAACCTGGACATCCTGAAATATATCATTTATACATGGAATCAAACTTAAACCTGGACACCCTGAAATATATCAATTATACAAGGACTTAAACTAAAACCTGGACACCCTGAAAAATATCATTTATACAAGGACTAAAACTAAAACCTGGACACTCTGAAATATATCATTTATACAAGGACTAAAACTAAAACCTGGACACCCTGAAATATATCATTTATACAAGGACTAAAACCCGGACAACCTGAAATATATCATTTATACAAGGACTAAAACTAAAACCAGGACACCCTGAAATATACCATTTATACAAGGACTAAAGCAAAAACCTGGACACCCTGAAATATACCATTTACACAAGGACTTAAACTAAAACCTGGACACCCTGAAATATATAATTTATACAAGGACTAAAACTAAAACCTGGACACCCTGAAATATACCATTTACACAAGGACTAAAACTAAAACCTGGACACCCTGAAATATACCATTTATACAAGGACTAAAACTAAAACCTGGACACCCTGAAATATATCATTTATACAAGGACTAAAACTAAAACCCGGACACCCTGAAATATATCATTTATACAAGGACTAAAACTAAAACCTGGACACCCTGAAATATACCATTTATACAAGGACTAAAACTAAAACCCGGACACCCTGAAATATATCATTTATACAAGGACTAAAACTAAAACCAGGACACCCTGAAATATACCATTTATACAAGGACTAAACTAAAACCAGGATACCTTGAAATATATCATTTATACAAGGACTAAAACTAAAACCAGGACACCTTGAAATATATCATTTATACAAGGACTAAAACTAAAACCAGGACACCCTGAAATATACCATTTATACAAGGACTAAAACTAAAACCAGGACAACGTGAAATATATCACTTATAACTAAAACCTGGACACCCTGAAATATACCATTTATACAAGGACTAAAACCAGGACAACCTGAAATATATCATTTTACTAAAACTAAAACCTGGACACCCTGAAATATACCATTTATACAAGGACTAAAACTAAAACCCGGACACCCTGAAATATATCATTTATACAAGGACTAAAACTAAAACCTGGACACCCTGAAATATACCATTTATACAAGGACTAAAACTAAAACCTGGACACCCTGAAATATTTCATTTATACAAGGACTAAAACTAAAACCTGGACACCCTGAAATATACCATTTATACAAGGACTAAAACTAAAACCAGGACAACCTGAAATATATCATTTATACAAGGACTAAAACTAAAACCCGGACACCCTGAAATATATCATTTATACAAGGACTAAAACCCGGACACCCTGAAATATACCATTTATACAAGGACTAAAACTAAAACCCGGACACTCTGAAATATATCATTTATACAAGGACTAAAACTAAAACCCGGACACCTTGAAATATATCATTTATACAAGGACTAAAACTAAAACCAGGACACCCTGAAATATATCATTTATACAAGGACTAAAACTAAAACCCGGACACTCTGAAATATATCATTTATACAAGGACTAAAACTAAAACCCGGACACCTTGAAATATATCACTTATACAAGGACTAAAACTAAAACCAGGACACCCTGAAATATACCATTTATACAAGGACTAAAACTTAAACCCGGACACCTTGAAATATATCATTTATACAAGGACTAAAACTAAAACCAGGACACTCTGAAATATACCATTTATACAAGGACTAAAACTAAAACCCGGACACCCTGAAATATACCATTTATACAAGGAAACAAACTTAAACCAGGGCACCATTAATTAAATCATTTATTATAAATTTTATACATTGACTAAAACTAAAACCAGGACACCCTGCAATATACCATTTATACAAGGACTAAAACTAAAACCTGGACACCCTGAAATATATCATTTATACAAGGACTAAAACTAAAAAACCTTAATAGGATCATTTAAACAAATTATATATACATTTTTATACAAGGACTAAAACTAAAACCAGGACACCCTGCAATATATAATTTATACAAGGACTAAAACTAAAACCTGGACACCCTGAAATATATCATTTATACAAGGACTAAAACTAAAACCTGAACACCCTGAAATATATCATTTATACAAGGACTAAAACCCGGACACCCTGAAATATATCATAATACAAGGACTAAAACTTAAACCTGGACATCCTGAAATATATCATTTATACATGGAATCAAACTTAAACCAGGACACCCTGAAATATATCATTTATACAAGGACTAAAACTAAAACCTGGACACCCTGAAATATACCATTTATACAAGGAAACAAAATTAAACCAGGACACCCTGAAATACACTCAACTATTCTTAGTGCTTGATAGTAAAAGAGCTTTGGTAATATAAAAATTACTGTTATTACAATGTTAATATAGGTAGCTATACACATACTTTTATTACAATGTTAGTATAGGTAGCTATACACATACTTTTATTACAATGTAAATATAGGAAGCTATACACGTACTTTTATTACAATGTTAATATCAGTAGCAATACACATATTTTTATTACAATTTAAATATAGGAAGCTATACACATACTTTTATTACAATGTTAATATCAGTAGCTATACACATACTTTTATTACAATGTAAATATAGGAAGCTATACACATACTTTTATTACAATGTTAATATAGGAAGCTATACACATACTTTTATTACAATGTTAATATAGGAAGCTATACACATACTTTTATTACAATGTTAATATAGGAAGCTATACACATACTTTTATTACAATTTTAATATAGGTAGCTGTACACATACTTTTATTACAATGTTAATAAAGGTATATACATACTTTTATTAACAATCAGCTCAGCATTATCTGTATCAACATAGATAGAGTTACTGCCTGTACACACATAAACCCCAGAATCGCTAATCTTAGCTTCACTGATAACCAGTGTACTTCCTTCTGTATTTAGTAGTTTTTCCATGTTCTCAACCTGCTTACTCCATTTTATTTCATATGGAATCTAAAAAATATCAATTCACTAACATAAATATATCAATTCACTTACATATATATATATATATATCAATTCATTAACATAAATACATGTACATGTATATCAATTCACCAAATAAATCAGATTCTAAATCTATAACAAAACAGACTCTGAATCAATTCACAAACAAAAGATGGCCATGATGGTCCTTATATATATTGCTCACCTAATTATAAACGCTCTAAATGATGAGGAACAAATAAAATTGTTTAATATGAATGAAAAAAGGCAGATTTAAGGTCTTAAATCTAAAACTGATATTTTCATATGAAATAGTTCACATTATAAAACAGTTATTGCACACCCTATATGTATGTGTGGATGTAGTCTATGCTTCATGAGGGTCCATTAAGACATAAAAAAGCAGATTTTGATTTGAAGTACAGACCTGATCATATCACAGATCATGCCCCTAAAATGTTCATTTGAAGCACAAAACCGTGAGAGAGAACTGATGAAAATCAGTAGTTAATATGAATGTTACTGGTTGCTTTGGAAAATCAATTGTTGCTGTGGAAAGACAATTGATGCTATGGAAGTCACTGGTCACTAAGAATGTTCAATCATTACTATTGACTTTATTGAATATTAAATTCAATTATTGTGGAAGACACAAGTTATGAAAGAAGGTTAATGGAAAATCACTGATTAATATGAAGAGTCAATAGTTGATTTTGAAATTGCTGGTTGCTATGGGAAGTTAATGGTTAATACAGCAAGTTACTGGTTTCTATAGAAAGTCATTGATTGCTATAGTAGTCAATGGTTGCTATGGAAAGTCAAGTGTTCCTTTGTTAGTCACTAGTTGCTTTGGAATGACAATTTGTTGCTATGGAAGTCATTGGTTGCTAAGGGAAGTTACTGGTGGCTATGAATCTGCTGGTTGCAAAGGAAAGCCAATGGTTGCCTTGGAAAGTAAAATGGTCGCAATAGAAGTCAAAGTTTGTTATTGAAAGTCAATGACTGCAATGGTCACTGGTTGCTTAGGAAAGTCAACTCCCGGGATCTGGCCAATTTTGACTAAAGGGTTGTTTTAAGAACTTGGCCCACTAGTTAATGTTTCATAAGTTTAACCAACAAGGTCCATTGCCAAATACAGTAAACTTCACATATAGCGAACACGGTTATAGCGAACTTCCGGTTATAAGGAACAAAATTTTTTGGCCCGAATTTTGCCCTTCTTTATTTCATGTAAAAAATTACGGTTACAGCGAACACGGTTATAAGGAATTATCGCTTATAAGGAACTCATTTTTTAGTCCCAATGCCATAAAAAGTACTGAAAATTACACTTTTATAACGAACTCCAAAATATCGGCTATCCGTGAACAGGTCACGCATTTTCTACTTTCGTTTTCATCGGCACAGATTAAAACTTGGCCGAATGTAGCGGATATATTAGGAACAAATAATGACGATGACAGTCAATCATCCGAAGACGAGATCTATTTAGATGATCTGCCGGTTGTGTCAAAGAATGAAGCTATTGATTGTTTGCACAAGATTAGGTCATATTTCGAGTCTAATGCACATGTTAAAGAAGCAGTTTTTTTAAGTTTATTGGATATTTAATTAAACTTGAAGAGTTGTAAACATTCCCAAACTAAATTTAGCGACTTCTTCAAAGCAAAGTGATTATTTTTGTGCATGATACTGTATTGTTAATAAATAACAATATTGCATATATGGTACATATCATATAATTATCTTATAGATATATTTATACATCAAAATTATATAAAGAGAAACAACATTGCAATTATTCCTTTTTTTCTTTATTGAATCAATATAAGGGAGACAACAATGATGAACCCAAAAGTTATTTCTCATAATCAAATTATCTTCAAAATGGAGGATGATGGTAAACAATTGGTTCGTTATATGTAAAACTGTTCGCTATAAAAACTTCTGATACAAGGAACTAATTCGCTATATGCTTACAAGGAACTCCGGATATAAGGAACAGATTTTGAATGTCCCAATGAGTTCGTTATAAGCGAAGTTTACTGTATCTGCCAAAGTCAAAGCCGATAAACATATGAGGAAAAACATAATCACCAGAACAGGGCTAATCTATGGAAAATCTATGACACTCCAGGACTGGGCAAACTTTGACAAGAGCTTTTAAGAGCTTTATGTCAGGAACATTTCTGCTTAGTTTGAACAATAATGGCCTATTGGTATATGAGGAGATATTGTTATAAACAATTTCAAAATGTTGATGCCACAAATGTTGTACAACAGACCCCATATGACAGGAATATCTCACCTCTGAGTAATTTGTGCTCAGGTGCGCTTAAATGTGTTGAAATCAGTCTAAGAAAGTACTCATTTGATTTTAATATGCAATCAAATACATACAGTAACAAAAATTACGTACATGGTCCAGCTTGACGGTAGCTTCACATAAAAACCTCACAGTTTCACCCTCAAATACTTCCTGTACTGAATTTTTTATATTCACTTGTATACCACCTTAAAACAAAAGATATATATATTCATTCCCATCAAGACAACCTTATATAGAACTGCAGAAACACATCCAGAAAAATGATAACTAACTAACTTAACTCCTACATGTATACCAAACAACTAAGCTATTGTCCTTTTGAGAACTATGTCTACATACAGACAGACAATTCTCATACATGTCAGTTGGATTGCTTCCTATAGGCAGGGGCCTTCACTTTTCTTCAAGAAAGTGAAAAAATAAAAAATAAAGTTTTTTCTACCTACAATTTTTGATAGGCCCCTAAATAAATTTATTGTTCTAAATCTATGCCTCTGACAACACAGAACAATTGGTTTCTTGAGAACCTGTAGATTTGTTTCCCCTAGAATTCAAATTACACATAGATCTAGACCAAGCTACTCCCCTGTCTGTGACCTGTGGCTTTCACAAAAAATAAGGTTAAATGTAACAATTAAAACAAAACAATTTTAAGTCTTTGAAGTCTTAAAAATTACAGGTTTAATTGTCAAGTGAAAATGTATTTCAACAGTTTCTGAAGGACAACAGATTTATTTCTATGTATTTCTAATTAAAAACAAATTAGACAGGAAAATGAAACACCAGTAAGTTAAAGACAATTTCTTACAATTAGCCTCATCTGATTTATCTTGACAATCTTCTATAGCATCACAAACACGCTCTGATGGAATACACATCTTGCCACCACAATGATATTCTCCGTCCATACAGTACGCTGAAATACATGTATAACTCATAAGATCAAAGTGTTGTCAGCCATTTTTTGATCAAGCATATTGGCATAATGCATGTTTTCTTATCTGGTAATATACCACTGTCAGATTAATTGTTAAGAATAAGATAATAATAATTTAAAGGTTTCAATTAAACAAGGGCAACATTGTAGCAAAATACGCCCGTAATAAAAGCTTTTGATGGATATGTTGGCATTATAGATATGCACAGCAATTAGCTGCAAGTGTGACCTTAACCTTTCAACTGGATCTCATGTATGAAGCAATATATTTAATGGTGGTGAACATTTCTATAGAGTATCATTCTTCCATGCATGTAGGAGATATGCTCCAGGCAAAATCCAGATATTTTATCATCTTTAGTGACCTTGACCTTGCATAAATTGACCTAAAGTACTAGTGCCATGGCAGCAGTCAAGATAGTGACCATTTGTGTTACAATTCCTGAATAAATAATGATAAATGTTCCCCATAAACAATTTCATTTGAACTTTGAGCTCTATGTGTGACCTTGACCTTAGCCCAATGGAACTGAATTTGTGCCTGGCACTCTGCATGAATATTTGTTCCAAGTAAAATTGGAATCCCTCTATGACTGTAGAAATTTTTCTCAAGACAAGCGCTTTTCAATGACCTCTATGTGTGACCTTGATCTTTAACCAACAGACCTGGTTAATGGGAGCTCTATTGCTTCTCATAGAAGTGAACATTTCTATAAAGTTTCATTGAAATACTTCCAGGCTTGTATAAGATAGGTTCCAGACAAAATCTAGATATTTTATCATCTTTAGTGACCTTGACCTTGCATAAATTGACCTAAAATACTACGCCATGGTGGTAATCATGGTAATGACCATTTGTGTTACAACCCCTCAATAAATGGTCCCTATACACATTTTCATATTTTTATTTAAATTTTGACCCCTATGTGTGACCTTGACCTTAGCCGCAGCAACCTGAATTTTACCCCTGACACTCTGCATCTCAATGGTGAACATTTGTACCAAGTTAAATTTAAAAACCTCTATGAATGTAAACCACAAGTCTTTTTAAATAACCTGTAAGTGTGACCTAGACCTCGAGACCTGGTTAATGGACATGACACAGCTTCTCATAGTGCGGAACATTTCTATGAAGTTTCATAAAAATACATCCATGCATGTAGGAGACATGCTATGGGCAAAATCTGGATACATGTATTTCATAATCTTCAGTGACCTTGCATATATTGACCTAAATTACAAGTGTCACAAATGTTGTAGTGATAATGATTATTTGTGTTACAATCCTCAATAAATGATGACTAAATGGTCCCTAGACATATTTTCATATTCCTATTTGAACTCTAACGCCTATGTGGGACCTTCATCTTAGCCACAGAGACCTGAATTTTGCCTCTAACACTTTGCATCACAATGGTGAACCTTTGTGCAAAGTAATATTGAAATCCTTCTATGCATGTAAAAGTTTTGCTCCAACAAGCGTTTTTCAATGACCTCTAGTATGACTTTTGACCTAGAGACCTGGTTCATGCCTGGGACACGGCTTCTCATAGTGGTGAACATTTTCTATGAAGTTTCATCAAAATCTCTCCATGAGTGTAGGAGATATGCTTTGGAAAAAAGTGGACGCTGCCAGCCAGACCTCCAGGGTCGTTCCTATAGTACACCCACGAGTAAGAAAGAGGTATGGAAGCCTTTACAAAATGTTGTTTTTTTCTTAAACTGTGCAAGAGGTATTTTCTCTTGCCTACAAGTGACGGTCTTTAAAAAAATTGTCATATGTAACACTTAGATATGGCATCCTTTTGTTAAATAGCTAACACAGTTAAAGTAATAATGCTAATACAGCTAACAGTAATAACTAGAAATGTGTCCATAGGACACGGGTGCCCCCACAATCCACTGATTTGTCAATCTTATGTCTTTAGGTCAAATTTTTTTTGGCTACATGTGCCCAAGTTGAAAACTAAAATTCTTTTATTAAGTAAAAGATACTGAATAAATCCACAAGAAAACCCCAAGGTGCATACATACACTTCTTGTAAACTTTCAGGCTTACAGGTCAAATACTTTTTGAGTTACGTGCAACAAAAGTTGATATTGGAAATTTTTACTAAGTCAAGGGCAATAACTCTAAAAATACTAAAAATATCCACACGAAAATACCCAGGTGCGCATATACACATGCTGATCAACATTCCTGTAAGGTTTCATGACTCTAGGTCAAATATTTTGTTAGTTACCTGCGACACAATTTGAAAATTGCAAGTTTTTACTAAGTCAAGGGCAATAACTCTAAATATTATGAAAATATCCACACGAAAATACCCAGGTGCACAACTACACATGCTGATCAACATTCCTGTAAGGTTTCTTGACTCTAGGTCAAATATTTTTGGAGTTACGTGCCACACAAGTTGTAAATTGGAAATTTTTAATAATTCATGGGCAATAACTCTAAAAATACTAATATATCCACACAAAAATACCCAGGTGCACAACTACACATGCTGATCAACATTCCTGTAAGGTTTCATGACTGTACGTCAAATATTTTTTGAGTTACGTGTGACACAAGTTTCAGGTTTCATGACTCTAGGTCAATTACTTTTGAGCTATGTGTGACACAAATATAGAACGGACGGACGGATGAACGGACGAATGGACGGACAGACAAGGGTAAATCTAAATGCCCCCCCTATAGCGGGGGCACAAAAAACTGTTTCCTTTCCTTTGTCTGCCAAAATATAAACATCAACATCAATACATTCTAAATGCACTAACTTGAAATATATGAAAGATAACTAGAATGAAATATGTATATTAATGAATCACCAAAAAACATCTCTGTTGATACATGTATCAAAATTTACAAACAAGTGTATTTGTTGTTACACATTATGATGTTAATAGTTAGGAATGAAGAAATCACTTACTACAATTATTTTCATCTTCACCAAAAGTGCAGTCTCTATGACCATCACACACTTTCTCCTTTGAAACACAGCCACCATGCTTACATTCAATGTCAGGACGACAACCTGTATATGATATAATATAATTTCAGGAAAACAACAGTCTGTGTATCATATACTAGTCACATGGGATGTCAGGACAACAGCCTGTATACCATATAGTCACATGGGATGTCAGGACAACAGCCTGTATACAATATAGTCACATGTGATGTCAGGACAACAGTCTGTATACAATATAGTCACATGTGATGTCAGGACAACAGCCTGTATACAATATAGTCACATGTGATGTCAGGACAACAGCCTGTATATAATACGGTCACATGGGATTTCAGGACAACATCCTGTATATAATATAAGTCACATGGGATTTCAGGACAACATCCTGTATTATTATAGTCACATGGGATTTCAGGACAACATCCTGTATATAATATGACAGTCACATGGGATTTCAGGACACAGCCTGTATTATTAGTCACATGGGATTTCAAGACAACAGCCTGTTTGTAATATATTGGCATGGGTTGTCAGGAAAACAGTTTGGATATAATATCATAGTCACATGAGATGTTGGGACATCAGCTAGTTATATAAATAACATGGCTACATGGGATGTCAGGACAACAATCTGTACATAATATAGTTACATAGGATGCGATGAATGACAGCCTGTATATAGTATAGCAGTTGCAATCTGTCATAAATATAACAGTTAAAAAATTAAAAAAGTTGTCAGAGGAAACAGCAACGCTTGACTAATTAAAAACTGGATGCAGCAAAGGAAGAAACAACTATGAAGAAAAAAATCTATTATGATATAATTATATTTATGTATCAGCATCAAGAAAGCACTCAAATGTTCAATATTTTTGCACAGTGTCAATGAAATTTAAACAGACATTCCTATACTCTTATTTGAAATCTGAAGTCAATCCCTTCAGTGACAAAAAATGATAAGAGCAAAGAGTATATACGTATAAAGTTTTTAAAGTAAAATTATAAGTTCAAAGAGGAAATAATTCTTGTAATAAAGATGCTAGAGTTATGTACTTTGTCATGCATGATGTGAGTAATGACAAAAAGCAATTATCTTATTTCTAGACTAGATACCATTTATAATAAAAATATAACAATTTTCAAATAAATTAAAAAATTAAATGGAAATAATTCTGGACAAACAGGAGCTAGAGTAAACATTTTTTATCACATATGACAAAGGTTTTGATAACAAACATGTCTTTGAAGTTCCTAAAGTAAAAAAGAAGTTACAGAAAAAATAAAGACAATTCTAAGTTTAACAGGAAGATAGTTTGAAAAATATTGATGCTAGAGTTATGAACCGTGCCATATAATTATTTAAAGATGCTAGAGTTATGAACCTTGCCTACTATTTTTTTATATTACATGGTTGTATAAGGGAATTGATATGAAGTGTAAATTTAAAGTTTAAAGTAAATCCTTTGAAAAAAGAAAAGAAATAGCAATTAAAAAAAAATTATGAGGGAATAATTCTAGAAATATTCATGCTAGAGTTATGAATCTTGTTACACATGATGTGGGTGATAAATAAGTAACAAATATTTGAAGTTTGAAATAGATACCTTAAGAAATGAAGAAGTTATAGTAAACAATAACATTTTATAACATAAATTCAAAGTTTAAGGTAGGATATTTCTGAAAATATTTTTTGCTCGAGTTACGAATCTTGTCACACATCATGTACGTGATAAGGAACATATTATATTTGAAGTTTGAAGTAGATACCTTAAGACATAAGAAATAATAGTTCAAAATAACATTTTTTAACAAAAACTAAGTTTATGGGGAGATCATTCTGGAAATACTGGTGCTTGAGGTAATAACCTTGTCACATATGATGTGGTTGATGATAAGGAACATATATTTTGAAGTTGATCCCTTTAAAAATAAAGAAGTAAAAGTAAAAAATAATATTCTTTGAAGAAAGTTGTAAGTTAAAGGGGAGATAAATCTAAATATTGCTTCTAGTGTTATAATTTTTGTCACATAAGATATTGTTGATAATAAGTAACATATATTTGAAGTTGATAACTTAAGAAACAAAAAAGTTTTAGTAAAAATATTTTACTGCACAAAAATTTTGATCTGAAATCAGGACATGGACGCCTGGGTGAGTTGGAAACTCTCCATATACTTCGTATAGTCGAGCTAAAAATGAATAAAATAAACCAATGTATATAAACAATGATATAAGATTGCTTTAGACAGACCAGGTATAGAGATATGTCATACATATATATTATACATTACCACAGTTAAGTTCATCTGTGGCATCAATACAATCGTTATATCCGTCACAGACATAGCTTCCATCAATACAGTCACCATTATGACAATGATACTGGTTCGCCTTACATTCTCCTGTTGTTATAACACATAAATATCAAAAACAGAAATTTAAGATAAAAAACTTCCTAAAAACATAACACATTTCATTGATTGAGTTCACATATGAAAAACAAGATTGCATTTGAGAAAAATGCTATGCCACCGCATTAATACAATACTAAATAGTAGTGTAGGAACAGATTTTTTTGTTTCTATACAATTGAAGATTGTCATAATGCATAGATCCCTGACCTATCTAATTCTTATTATCAGATTAGTGGTTAAATCTATTGTTAATCCAATAAAAGATCAGAGTAGGAATATATCAATGCAATTGAGTCTGGTGAATTTGGTGGTAAAGGTCATATTTCACACAGCCTAAATTTCATGACTACATCAAAGGACAACACAGTAAGACACTTTGTCAAAATCTAGGCCAGCTGATATCAAAGTTCACTTTACATCTTAATCTGTGCACATGGTTCAAATTTCATAGCTGTACATCAAAGGACAAGAAAGTAAGTCACATCATCAAAATCTAGGTCACCTGATATCAAAGTTCAATTTTACAACTAAAACTGTGCACATGGTCAAAATTACATTGCTGTTCATCAAAGGACAAGAAAGTAGGTCACTGTCCCCTTGGGCAAGGCAAAATTTTGACCCAAGGGTTTAATTTAAAACAATCTTGATAAAAGTCCACCAAACAACATTTCAAGTCAAATTTCTAAGCTGTAGCTTTCTCCCATTCAGAAAACATTTGTTTTATTTTCTGTTTTTAATATGTATACATAATGAGAATCACTGCCCCCGAACAACTTTGGTTGAGGACCTATAAATGATATTATATAGCAAACATTAAAGTTCTATGTCTAGTACCTTCAGACAAAAATATTTTCTATTTTTTACTATATGTACATAATGAAAATCAATGACCCCCGGGGCAGAACCAATTTTGACCCCAGGGCTATAATTTGAACAATCTTGGTATAGGTTCACATCGCATTTCATATATTGAACCTCTAGCCTTTGTCAAATCAGAAAAGAAGATTTTTCAAGGTTTTACTTTATACATATAAGTAAGTAAGTAAGTAAGTAAAGGCTTAATTTATCGAGGCTACACATTTGGTTTCCCAATCTTCCATGTGGGAAAACTATCGCCTCTGGGGCAGGGCAATTTTAATACTAGGGGCATAATGAAAACAACTTTAGTAGAGGACCCATAGATGATATTATATACCAAATATCAGAGCTCTAAGCCTTGTACTTACTGACAAGAAGGTTTTTTAATTTTTTACTATATGTACATAGTGAAAATCAATGACCACAGGGGGTGGGGCCAATTTTGACCCCAGGGCTATAATTTGTACAATCTTGCTAGAGGTTCACTACACAATGTTTCATGCAAAATATCTTAACTCTAGCCTTTGTAAATTTAGAGAAGATGATTTTTTTAAGTTTATACTATATACATAATTATAAGGAAAACCTATCACCCCCAGGGCGGGGCAAATTTTGACACTTGAGGCAAAATTTGAACAACTTTGGTAGAGTACCTATGATATCATTTAACAAATATTAAAGCTCTAAGCCTTGTACCTTCAGACAATAAGGTTTTTTTGATTTTTTACTATATGTATATATTGAAGCTCAATGACCCCCGGGGAGAGGGCAATTTTGATCCCAGGGCTATAATTTGAACAATCTTGCTATAGGTTCACTACACAATGTTTAATGCAAAATATATAACCTCTAGCATTTGTCAATTGCTAGAAGAATTTTTTTACTATAAGTTTTTACTATATACTTGGTAATCTTGGTAAGGGTCTACCAGGCAATGCCTTATGCAATATATCTAAGCTCTAGGCCTTTTGGGTCCTAACAAGAAGTTTTTTAATTTTTTACTATATGTACATATAGTGAAATACAATGACCCCTGGGGCGGGCCGATTTTGACCCCAGGGCTATAATTTGAACAATCTTGGTAAGGGTCTACCAGACAATGCCTTAGGCAAAATATCTAAGCTCTAGGCCTTTTGGGTCTTTTCAAGAAGGTATTTTAATTTTTTACTATATGTACATATAGTGAAAACAATGACCCCCGGGGCGGGGCGGATTTTGACCCCAGGGCTATAATTTGAACAATCTTGGTAAGGGTCTACCAGAAAATGCCTTATGCAAAATATCTAAGCGCTAGGCCTTTTGGGTCTTTACAAGAAGACTTTTTAAATTTATTCTTATAATTCCTTTTGGTTGCCATGGCAACCAGATTTCTGCATGGAATAAATTTCTTTGAACAACTTTGGAAGCCCTTCACCCAAGGATTGATCCTGCCTAGTTTGGTTGAAATTGGACCAGTGGTTTTTCACAAGTTCACTATATAATCTATAGAACACACACACAAACGCACCAACACACACAGGTGAATAGCTATATGCCACCGCATCGCAGATGCTGCGGTGGCATAAAAATCAAAAGGATTTTCTTCTAAGCTACCAAGATATAATATTTATATTATAACATATATATATGTAACAAATCTAAGTAACATTTATACACACATTTATACAATGTTATAAATTACAATGTATTGTTACAACATATGTAACATTTTTATTACCCTTCCAGATTTTTTCCGCCTTTTTGATTGGATATTGATCACCCGAAAGAAATTGATATAACCGAGCCAGACGGGTAATATACACACTAAATTTCCCCGTTGGGTACCCAACGTTGTAAACAACATGCACTGAGGTGATGTGCGTACGGTTCGATTTAAAAGCACTTTTTAACTGTCAAATGATAAATATTTACCAAAGTAGAGTAATGATTCATATTACCATCAGTATCGAAAACAAATATGACCTTGTGAAAGCTTGATATTAATTACAAAAAAGTGCGTTCAATAGACTACTCCTTTTCTCTTGTTTACATTCGTGAGGTACGGGAAAAATATGTCATGTATTTATGTGACGTCATGTTGTGACGAAGAGGTACCCTAAAGGGAATCTTCAGTTTCATTTGAAACAGCAATGATTTTTTAAACAAGAGCGATCAGTAATCACATGTGTCGCCTCATGATGGCCAATTTCATGTTGGGAAAAATTTTGTGACAGACAGACAGATAGACAGACAGTGCACAACTAGACTTGGTACTGATCATTCCTGTAAAGTTTGGATAAAATTGCACCAGTAGTTAATGAGGGGTAGTCCGGACAAGCTTTTGCGTATCTTGCAACACACAGAAAAAAACACCTTTTTATTAAAGGGCCATAACTCGGCCAAAAATCATTCAACCGGAAAACCCGTGCAATATGCCCAAGGACTCGAGCTACAGATCAATCCTGTAAAGTTTCATTGAAATTGCATTAGTGGTATAAGAGAAGTAGTCCGGACAAACTTTAAAATTAAAAATCATTAAAGGGCCATAACTCTGACAAAAATCATTGAACCGGAAAATGCTGACAATATGCACAAGTAGACTTGGTACTGATCATTCCTGTAAAGTTTGGATGAAATTGCACCAGAAGTTTATGAGGAGTAGTCCGGACAAGCTTTTGTGTATCTGGCAACACACAGAATAAAACACCTTTTTATCAAAGGGCCATAACTCGGCCAAAAATCATTCAACCGGAAAACCGGTGCAATTTGCGCAAGGACTCGAGCTACAGATCAATCCTGTAAAGTTTCATTGAAATTGCATTAGTGGTATAAGAGAAGTAGTCCGGACAAACTTTAAAATTAAGAATTATTAAAGGGCCATAACTCTGACAAAAATCATTGAACCGGAAAATGCTGACAATATGCACAACTAGACTTGGTACTGATCATTCCTGTAAAGTTTGGATGAAATTGCACCAGTAGTTTATGAGGAGTAGTCCGGACAAGTTTTGTGACGGACAGACGGACAGACAGACAACGGAGAAGTGATCCCTATATGTCGCCACTACTCCGTAGAGGCGACACAAAAATCGTCTTAACTTGGCAGGGGAAGGGTAATAAAATTATTATTTTGGTTTTGGAGTGATATATGTGGATATATTACCTGCCAAGATAAAATATCACCCTCGCCTAACGGCTCGGGTGATATAAAATCTTAACAGGTAATATATCCACATATATCACTCCAAAACCAAAATAACATATAATATGTTACAATGCATGTAAAATTTATATGTAACAATGTATGTAACATTTATACGTTACAATGTGTAACAATGTATGTAACATTTATATGTTACAATGTATGTAACATTTATATGTTGAAATGTATGTAACATTTATAAATAACAATGTATGTCACATTTATAAATTACAATGTATGTCACATTTATACATTACAATGTATGTCACATTTATACATTACAATGTATTTAATATTTATATGTTAGAATGTATGTAACATTTATATGTTAGAATGTATTTAACATTTGTAACCGCAACAGAAAGTTTTACTCCTCCTTATAATGAAGCTGTCTTGACAGTAAAGCTTACAGTTTGAATGATTTCCATTCAGTTGTTATAGAGACTGTTTTTATGCCAATTTTAACCCATGCTTATATCTCTGTGGTGTGTTCACCTTTCAACAAAATGACCAACTACTAAGCTGGCATGATTTTTGAATCAGCTGTTAGAGACAAATGTCCATTAGACTTAATGTCAGAGATCATTGTCACAAAGACATTTTGCTTTGCTCTGGGACCAAAAAAAACCAGCATGTCCTGGATTACAATTCCATGTATTCCCTTTTGAGCTTAACAGTCAGACGGTAGTAGCAAAATAGCCTGGACAAAAGTAGATAGATATTGAAAACAAAAATACAAAGATGGAGAATTAAATAAGACGGTATGTAAGTGAGTAATGCTTACTACAGTTTTGTTCATCTGTTCCATCCTGACAGTCTACATCGCCATTACATACATATGTATGTCTAAGACATGTACTGGTATCACACTGATGATCTAAACCCCTACATCCTACAGTAAACAAATATACAGTTAAGAAGATGCACATAATATACAGAGTACATAATTTGTAAAAAAATCAAATTTAAACTAAAATTAACTTTTTTAATTACCCTAAAGGATGCCTCACGACTGTATTGTTTTTATATTTACGTAATTTCAATGGAAATTCAACAAATTATTGCAATGTATCTATTAGTTGATTGTTGTACGCTAAATAAGTGTTCAAAATATAATTCTATCACACTTCACACTATTCCTCTATTAAACAGATAGGACAGTCAAGTGCATTATTACATATATATGCACAACATAAAAAACAAATGCTTTCAAGTCATATGACATTAGATATGACATCATTTAACCAAATGCTTGCAGGAAAAAGACTTCTACGCTCAATGTAGTTTAACATATTTTTATCCATTCTCTTTTAAATTAGCAATTAAGAATTAAGATAGATCTTAATTTGTATTTCATTAAATTAGTATAATAATGCACAATTTATCGTTCAAATGCTATGTTTGACCTATCGGCCTTTGTGATTATATTCCTACGCATTGAACTCAAACCGTGCACTGCACTCAAAGTTAATATCTATTTCCTGAAAATCACAAAATGACTATAAGTGAAACAAGGGTGCCATAGTCACAAAATACGCCCGTTTACGAAAGCTTTAGATGGAGATGGGGGCATTATGGATAAGTGTTATCTAGCAAGCAAGTTTTTATTCTTGGCACTGTGTTGTTAAATGAACATTAAAACAAATCAGTAGGGAAGATATGCACAGGATGGGTGACCTTGACCTTGGTCGCAGGGACCTGAATTTTATGCATGGCACTAAGCCTCACAATGATGAACATTTGTGCCAAATTATATTGAATTCCCTCTATGCATGTAGAAGTTTTGCTCCAGACAAGCGTTTTCTATGGCTCTACCTGTGACCTTCACCTTTGACCTAGAGCCTTGGTTCATGTGCAGGGCACTACGTCTCATGGTGGTGAACAATTCTATAAAGTAACATTAAAATTCCTCCATGCATGTAGAAAATATGCTCCGGAACATATCTAGATATTTAATCATCTCCAGTGACCTTGACCTTGCAAATATTAACCTGAATTAAATGTGTCACACCTGTAGTCATGATAGTTACCATTTGTGCTACAATCCATGACTAAATGGTCCCTATACACATCTTCAAATTTTTATCTGAACTTTGACCTCTATGTGTAACCTTGATTTTGGTCGCAGGGATCTGAATTTTGCGTGCGACACTCAGCCTCACAATGGTGAACATTTGTGCCAAGTTATATTGAAATCCCCCTATGAATGTAGAAGTTTTGCTCTGGACAAGCGTTTTTCAATGATCTCTAAGTGTGACTTTGACCTGGAGACCTGGATCATGCATGGAGCAATACATATCATAGTGGTGAACATTTCCATAAAGTATTATAAAAATTCTGCCATACATGTAGGAGATATGCTCCAGACAAAATCTGGATATTTCACCATCTTTAGTGACCTTGACCTTGCATATATTGACCTAAAGTACATGTGTCACAGCCGTAGTCATGATAATGACCATTTGTGTTACAATCCCTCAATAAATGATGATTTAATCGTCCCTATACACATCTTCATTTTTTTATATAAACTTTGACCTCTATGTGAGACCTTGACCTTGGCTGCAGGGACCTGAATTTTGTGCGCGACACTCTACCTCACAATGGTGAACATTTGTGCCAAGTTATATTGAAATCCCTCTATGCATGTGGAAGTTTTGCTCCGGACAAGCGTTTTTCAATGAGCTCTAAGTGTGACCTTGACCTTTGACCTAGAGACCTAGTTCATGTGCGTGACATGGCTTCTCATAATGGTAAACATTTCAAAGAAATTTCATTAAAATCCCTCCATGCGTGTAGGAGATATGCTCCAGACAAAATCTGGATATTTCATCATCTTTAGTGACCTTGACCTTGTATATATTGACCTTGTATAGATTGAAGTTTCATTAAAATCCCTCCATACATGTAGGAGATATGCTCTGGACAAATTGGACGCCGCCCGCCAGACCACCCGCCCGGGGCCTTCCCATAATACGTCCCGTTTTTCAAACGGGCGTATAAAAACTAGAAAATGTCAATGCCTGATTACCATATCATTGAAGCTAGGAAGTAAACATACTACTCATACATCTACAGTAGGTATTCACAGCCCTTAAGGCAGATAATCTTCACCAAATATATCTAGCAAATACATCATATTTAAGTAATCATGACGATTATTTTAAAAACATTTATATTTATTACCATATGTGAGCTCAAATGATTTCTCCACCCAACCTTGGTCTTTCAGCCATCCTTTGCACTTGTAAATTCCAATGTCAGAGTATAACATGTTCCTGATTGTCAGAATATTAACCCTATCAAATGTTGTTCTAACTTGATACATTCTGTAATATAAACAAGAGCTGTTAGTAAGACTGCAGACTTAACTATTTTCAGTGCTTGAAAATAAAACAAGAGCTGTCAGTAGGACTGCGGACTTAACTATTCACAGTGCTTGAAAATAAAACAAGAGCTGTCAGTAGGACTGCAAACTCAAATATTCTCAGTGCTTGAAAATAAAACAAGAGCTGTCAGTAGGACTTCTGACTCAACTATTCTCAGTGCTTGAAAATAAACAAGAGCCGTCAGTAGGACTGCAGACTCAAATATTCTCAGTGCTTGAAAATAAAACAAGAGCTGTCAGTAGGACTTCTGACTCAACTATTCTCAGTGCTTGAAAATAAAACAAGAGCTGTCAGTAGGACTGCTGACTCAACTATTCTCAGTGCTTGAAAATAAAACAAGAGCTGTCAGTAGGACTTCTAACTCAACTATTCTCAGTGCTTGAAAATAAAACAAGAGCTGTCAGTAGGACTGCTGACTCAACTATTCTCAGTGCTTGAAAATAAAACAAGAGCTGTCAGTAGGACTGCTGACACAACTATTCTCAGGGCTTGAAAATAAAACAAGAGCTTTCAGTAGGACTGTGGACTCAACTATTCACAGTGCTTGATAGTAAAACAAGTGCTTGATAGTAAAACAAACAAGAGCTGTCAGAAGGCCTGCGGACAGTGCTTGAACCAAATTTTGACAAGTATAAAACTGGTTAATAAGTGACAAACCTTCCACGAAACATTCTGACTGGACGCTTGCTAGGTGTCTTGTACCATTTAAGGGCTGGGGTGGGACCTGATCCTGAACACAGAGCCTTGCAGTATATCTGATTAATTTGTCCACCTAAACCAATAACATATTCACCATCCTGTAGTTCCTGACCATCTTTCTGTATTGTGAGATCACACTGATTACCACTGCCTGTAACAATTGTTTTAAAATAAATATTCTGTGAAACCATTAAGTATGATAATTTTTTGTCATTCTCTAATATTTCGTCACCTTAGTGCAGTAACAGGTTATCTCCTATTAAATTATTTAAGGAGATAATCCGTTACTAGGTGACAATTTCACATCATATAGATCAAGAGGTAGTTTCTAAGATGTGTTAACTTCTGTCTTTAAATCATTTGTTCAAGCTATTTTGTATTTTATATTATTTGTAAAATATTGCTCACTTCAAAAAAGAAATAGGTTAAAGAACAATATTAGAATTTCTTATGCAACATTGTGATTTACCACTCAGTCTGAAAGCTGGTTTTTACTTTCTTTGTGACTTTTAAGTATCACATTGCTCTATTGTTAATATACATTTGACCCTAGTTTAATGAACATTCTTTAAATAGTAAATGAGATCCAAAATGACTTTTAAAGGACAATTATGCCTCAGAAATGCTTTAATTATTTCTCAAAATCTTTATTTTCCTGTTAAAATTTCTATTAAGTTATATGTTGGCCAATTACCTGAACCATCTTCTGATTTTTGCCAATTAGTACAGTATTGATTTAGAATTTTGACTTCCATTCAAAATACTATGTTCTTTATATATTGCAACTATTATGACAAATTATTTAACATCCAGCGCTACTTTTTTAGGGTCATAAGCATGCAACATACCATTATTCAAAGGTTATAAAATTAATGTTTGCCCTTGCTCCAGAATTTTGTTTTGTTTCTGAGGCATTATGTGCCTTTAAGGCCTGAACTTTCAACTGTGACCTTGATGTGGCTACATCTTTGTAAAAATTGCAAATAAATAATTGTGACTTATCCAATGTGATGTAAGAAACGGTCTGTTTTGACTTTTGTAGAAGTGAATATCCAACAGTTGTAAAATTTTGCCAACTTTAAAGTAGCATTAAATAAATATGTAAAAATATTTTGCCGTCGGCCTAAAAACAAAGCGTTCTACAGTTTCATTAATCTTATTAACAGTATTGTTGTAAATCTCATCTAATATTGTTCATAAATTGCAATTTTTAACGAAAAAACCCAAGGCAACACTAAAGTTTGTATACGAATTTTAACATGCAAATGAAGACTTATAATAATCGGCTTGTGTATGCGCTACGTCAGTGTTTAAGTTGCTATACGGACACAGCAAATATGAGATTTTCTTGTGCAAAAACACTTTAATTGTTTTAGCTTCATGGTGCACAAGGCCTGGCGTTCAGAAAAAAGTAATCATCTCATCAAATTGATTAAATTTGTATGAACACACCCGTTACAATGTGGAAATATACTGTTAAATTAGGACTGCTACTTATAGTCATGTTTGTTGATTTTATATTGATGTACTGATGATCTGAAGGCGGAGTTTCTCATGCAAACTGAAATTGTACTAACAATTTTGCCACAATGAGGTTGCAGATTTTATGCTTTATATATTAAAACTCATTTTGGTTGTCTTGACACAAAAATAAGATCTGGAGCCGATGTGAAACCCAATTTATTAATGACATGTCGCTATTTCTGTTTTTATGAAATTTATTAAATGTAACTTTAATGGACATTTAGCAGAAAGAACACTATGTTGTTCCTTTATATACATATTATATTACATGCATTCAATAATGATATTTGAAAATATCAATTCATTAATATAACATCATAATCCCCTATGTGACTGGTCAATTAACAAGATGGCCAAGTTGGCTCTAGATGGATCACCTGAGATCAATCGCATTTCAGTTTCCAAACATGAAGATTTAAAGACCTTTTTTGTAACAAGTCTTGTTGACCATGGGGACATTATCTATGTAACTTTTGTAGCATACATGTGATAGCTAAAATGTGCCAAAACTGGATTTTCAACTGGATTTAGGGGCTCAAAAATGTATTCTTTAATCAACTCAAATTTCAACATTGGCACATTTGGTAGAACAAACTCATATTTCCCTCAAAATGACAAGTGTTTTATATGATCTAATTCATGTTGTTTTAAAAAAAACAAAACAAAACATATGGATATAGCCAAATAAATTATGGCTTACATCATTTTAATTCAAGTCAATGAAAGTTTATTTCTAGAACAGTCATATTTCATCAAAATGCAATAATGTGACATTACAAAAAGTGTTTAAGAAGACATTTGTTAAAAAATCTTTTGTATTATAAAAGTATATTCGAAAACGTGCTATAACTTTTTATAGTCGAAAGACAGTTATTTTGTTCCTTCAGTGAAATACAGGCTAACGCAAGAAGAATAAGACCAAAAGTAAATTTCTTTTAAACATTTAATGCAAGAAGTTTTCATTTTTTTAAATCACATTTTTGAAGAATATATACTAAAGATTGTAAATTAATAAATATTACCACTATGCTGCAAAACAGTTTCTGAGGCAAACATTTAAGTTTTAGGTATATATTTAGCTTTTGTGAATAAAAGAATAATGAAAAAAAAGAATGGAACCATTAATAAATCTATTGTAGAGAGACACCTGTGAAGTTTGGTACCATTGGTCAGACCGAGGTATTGTTGAACGAAAATGTTGATAACCACAGATGACAAACCAACATGCTATCCTCTGAATCTGTGCTCAGGTGAGCTAAAAACTAGGAATGATATCTTATAGAAAAGTAAAGAAAGGTTCACAGCATTAAAGTACAATTTCTTATAAATTGCAAAGATCCATTAGACTTTATAAGATTATGAAACATTGTGACAGCTACATTTATAACCTAAAATATACCCTATAACAGACTATGTTAATCTTTGACCTCTAAGTGTGACCATTGAAGTAGGGAGGGACCCATGTTTTGCGCCTGACATATCGTCTTATTATTGTGATAATTTGTGCAAAGTATATTTAAAATTCGTTGATCTATGAAGAAGTTATGGACAGGACACAAAATATACCATATAACAGACTGTTAACCTTTGACCTCTAAGTGTGACCTTGACCTTGGAGGTAGGGGTGCAGGTGTTGTACTTGACATATGATGTCTTATTATTGTGACTATTTGTGGCAAGTAATTTCAAAATCCCTTGAACTATGAACAAGTTCTAGATCAGACACAAAATATACCATATAACAGACTATGTTAATTTTTGACCTCCAAGTGTGACCTTGACCTTGGAGGTAGGTGACCAGTTTTGCACATGACACATCATCTCATTATTGTGAACAATTGTGGCAAGTATTTACAAAATCTCTTCAAAGATAAGAAAGTTATGGACTGGACATGACATTCACCCTCAAATAGACAATGTTGACCTTGAATGAACAAGTGCGACCTTGACCCTGGAGGTAGGGGTCTGGTTTTTGCGCACGACACATCGTCTTATTATAACAAACATTTGTGCCAAGTAATTTTAAATTCCTTTGATAAATGACAAAGTAATAGACTGGACACGAAAGTGTGACGGATGGATGGAGCCAATTTCTATATCAAAAAAATATTTTTAGTATTTAATATTAACATCCAAACTTCTGAAATATGCGGAACGTCAGTCACAGATCCTACTCAGGTGTCTGAAATAATGCATGGAGTAGCACCCGAGAGTCTCCTCCACTAGTAAAGCTGGAAAGTAGCCATATATATAACTTTAATTGTCTTGGTGTGACCCAACCAAAGAAGAAAAAAAGTTAGTATAGATCTACTGTCTTGTCATCATATACAGATAATAACCCTGTCGATATAAGAGTAATTTTAAATATTTTGATTTATTGTACCTTTGTCTTGCTACACACATTTTAATCACAATACAATTATTGGAGGCATGATGCATGAATGTGTAATAAATATAACTTTTGAGAAAACTATATGTTAAATAACTTACACGTATGATAGATTCCAAGAAGAATCCCCGCAAAAATTAAACACTTCATGTTGAAATGCAAACTTTTCAATGAATTGTCTGAAATTTTCTAAAATCAGCTTTAAATAACTGTGCCAATTTATTCTCAATTACACTGATTGTTTAATCTGACCTCAGCCTGTTGAAAAATATAACAGAGTGTGGAAACAAAAATAAACAGTCCAGAATGCACTTTGTTGTCTAAGTGGCTTGTTTTCTCAGATACATCACTTCAAACAGGATATAAACAATCTAAGACTGGAGTGACTTACTAAAAAGACAAGGATAAGAACGTAATAAGAGCCACTTAACTCTAAAAATGTTCCCTGGTATAAAAAAAACTTGTTTATGAAGTTTACTGACAACTTTAATATCTGTTAAACATGGCCATCACATTTTCAGTTTTGTGGTAACTGCAACAAGGCAATGTAATTCTACCTAGTAAAATTATTCGAAATATCCTATAATGTTAGATAACTGTTTCTATAATGATAAAATAAGGGTGAGATTCAATTATCATTACATGCATATGCAGCTACATTTTCTAAGCATTATGATAACAAGAGCACCACTATGCGGAGCATTATATGCCCGAAAAAGCTTTTTTTTTTTAGTAAAGATAAAGCATTTGTAAGACATTGGAATTAAATAAAGTATTACCTCCTTCAAATAACAATCCTCCTATGAAGTTTGAATATTGTGGTCGAAATGGAACTGTTTTCAATTTTAAGGTAATAGTGACCTTGACCTTTGACATTGTGACCCAAAAATCCATTGGGTCTTCTACCTAATATGGACAATCATCCTATGAAATTTGAATATTGTGGGCCTAATGGAACTTAAGTTATGCTCAAGAAACTGTTTTCAATATCAAAGTAATAGTGACCTTGACCTTTGACCTTGTGACCCCAAAATCAAGAGGGGTCTTGTGCCCAATATAGACAATCATCCTATAAAGTTTGAACACTGTGGGCCAAATAGAATTTTAGTTATGCTCCGGAAACTGTTTTCAGTTTTAAGGTAATAGTGACTTTGACCTTTGACCTTGTGACCAAAAAACCAATATGGGTCTTCTACCCAATATGGACAATCATCCTATGAAGATTGAACACTGTGGGCCAAATGGAACTTAAGTTATGCTCCGGAAACTGTTTTCAGTTTAAAGGTAATAGTGACCTTGACCTTTGACCTTGTGACCCCAAAATCAATAGGGGTCTTCTACCCAATATGGACAATCATCCTATGAAGTTTGAACACTGTGGGCCAAATGGGACTTAAGTTATGCTCCGGAAACTGTTTTCAGTTTTAAGGTCATAGTGACCTTGACCTTTGACCTTGTGACCCCAAAATCAATAGGGGTCTTCCACCCAATATGGACAATCATCCTATGAAGTTTGAATATTTGGGCCAAATGGAACTTGGAAATGGAATGGAAATGGGCATTTAAAAATGGATATTATATTAATTTCATCTTATTTCGCCAATTTATCAACTAACCAAGATATCTAAAACAAAATTTAAGATATTAAGAACATATCAGATATATTCCATTCAACAGGGAGATATCAAATATCAATAAGATATCATAAAGATATCTAAGAAATATCATGGATTTATTATAATGAAATTACTAAGATGATATCAAAGATATCCACAGGAATCACAGAGATATCAAGGTGATATCAGTAGAATATAAGCTACCTTGAATGGGAAGCACTGTAAATAGAATAGTTACAGTACAGTACCAGGATATCCTGTTCTCCCAATTACCCTAAATAAATTACAACACATGTAATTCCTAGAAAATGTTTATGTGATTCTGGATAATTCCAAGAAAACTTATTTTCACTTTTCAACTTCACCCCAGTAGTTTCTAAGGTGTTAACAAGCATTTTATGTGAACTAGAAGTAAATAAGTAAATAAGCATGCAGTCATGCATGGGGGGGGAGGCTAAAATAAAATATATCATACAACTAAAATATATCATGAAATAAACTGAAACTAAATCAGTGCTATTAACAATACTCATGCTATATACTAAATGTTTATAATTTGAAATTGTAATGTATGAACACTCATATATACAATTACAAAAGCAGGAGAGGCCCTGTTTTTACACAATTATTAACATGCCACGTGACTGCAGGCTGGCTTCGATCTATACTGGTGGAAAAAGGCTGTCTGCAGATTAAAGGTTAATATGTGTTCTGTAAAATAAACATTATAAAATAACTGGCAGTATATCTTATCTGACAAATGCTTGAAAGTTACTAAAATTGAAGAACTATATTTGCATATGATAAATTAATTATTGCTGTTCGTTCAAAATGCATTTGTACAAAATTTCATTAATTCAAAAACAATGAATTATAGAAAATGTTTGAACTTGATGAAAAATAAACTTTCCAATCTTTGAGCAAGAGCCAATAAAAATATTTTTTTAAATAGAATATATTACATGCAGTAAGAAAGTAAAAATATCTTTCTTTTTGTCTTAAAGTAGCATGACTGGAGATTCATGCAAATTTTCATGAAAATTTTGAAAATGTATTAAAAAGTAAAATATTGTGAAGTGAACAAAGAAAGTAATTTACACATTTCAAGAAAAGTAATAATTTACATATTACCATATGTGTGATTAAATTACCTAAATTAGATTACATGTATTTATCACCAGATATCTACTACATGATCTATGCAGTTTGCATAATTTTGACCTCTTTTTTGGACACATTTACAAATGCTGTTTAAAATGCATTTTTTCTCAACTTTGACTATCTTGAAATATTTTGTTGCATCTGGAGGCATTCAGCTTAAATAATTAAAGATACATGATTACAGGAAATATTAAAGATTTTGATACTGACCTTGAGAAATGTATCTCAAGTGTTTATGAAATAAATGATTAATTACTCAAGTGCAGTGGCTTGTTACATAGGATATAACGTAGAAAAAACACACATATATACTACTCAACTTTTGCTAAGCACCATTATGTTTGAATGTGAATATATTTTAGGATAATTTTATTAACACTGTGGAAAGGTTTTGATTGATTTGATTTACTGTTTTATCAATTCAGCTGAAGGTCAAATTTAACCCTATAAAGGAGTTTTGCACCGATTTTGTGCTAGAGAAGAGGATGACCCCCCTCTTTTCAGAAGATTTCAGAACATCCAGCATGTTTTTCAATTTTGTTTAGTTTAAGACTTAATACCGCGTGTGTGACCCATGACTATCAGCACCTTCTAATACTCTCTATTAGCTTTCTGATCATTCTAACGTGTACGGCTGCCCATTCTTGGACCAACATGGCTCCAAGCTCCTGGATGGTTCTGGGTTGCAGCTGATGAGGTGAAATTCTAACCAGCAGCTCATTCCACATGTGTTCTATTTGATTTAAGTCAGGTAAGCGAGCTGGCCAGTCCATGCACTCAATAGACTCCCTCTCTAGGTAGTCCTGGACTACCCTGTACCTTAGGGTACTTGTGGTCAAGTATGAAGACAATCCATTCATAACAAAGTTACAACCAATTAGAGCAAAAGTCAATCAAAATTCAAACATTTAATATTCAAGGTCAAGGTCATTTATGAGAAAAGGTCAAGTTCTGTCTGATCAACTTGAAGGTTTTGTTCTAAGGATTGTTACGTAAAAGTATGAAAGCAATCCATTTCATATTAAAAACAAGAATCTGCGTTTGATAAACACAAATGTCCCCAAGCTCACTGTTGTCAATAATTTAACTTAAGAGAGTGAAGTAGCTAATTTTCATGGAAGGCAAAATTCTACTTTGTTTACATTTTGCCACTTTTATGACAATTATTTCATATAAGGCCCTACTTTCTTTAGGATATAGGCATTTAACTAAATATGAAATAAATCTGTCAATATATAAAGGCTGTATGGGCAAAAGTGTAAAAATCTATTTTTAGCACTGTTGACCTTGACCCAACTGACCCCTATCTCCATCCAAAGGAAGAATACCATGCAAGTTATCTTCCTACCAATTATAATATACACCTGTCAATAAATAAAGGCTGTATGAGCAGTATGGCTGTACACCTGTAAAAGTGTAAAAAATCTATTTTTGACATTGGTGACCTTGACCCTAATGACCCCTTACTAAAGGAAAAGGAAGAGGACCTCCCTTGGTATATCTATTATAAACATGAAAGACATAAACTTAAAAATAAAGGCTGTATGAGCAGAAATGTTTAGATTAATTTTTTTACACAAGTGACCTTGACCTTGACCTAGAAACGCCTTTCGCCACAAAAAATTAGAGGACCGTTAAAGGTATCCACCTACCAAATATGAAAGATAACATTATATAAATTAAGTAATTAGGTGAAATTTTTTGATAAATCCAACTTGGCGGAATAGGTTAACCATACAAGGCCCTATTTTCAAAGTGATAAAAAGGGAAATTACTGGGAAAATGGATGGCACATTTATATAACTTGGCAATATCATGTACAATGTATTGATAAGTAAGTGTGAAAATTATTAAGCCATTAGTTCAGATAGAACAAGATATTTCCAACTTGCCGAATTAGGTTAAACATTATTCATTTTCTAAGTGCTGAAAAGGGCCATAACTTGGTGCAAATGGAAGCCATAGGCATGTTACTTGCCCAGATCATTATACTTTGCATGGATTAGTAAGTGTGTAAATTATGAAGCCATTTGTACATGTAGAACTTAAGAAAAATCCAACTTGCCGTTCTAGGTTAACCTTGTTCGGACAGACGGATGTCCGGTTCAATTACTATATGCCCTGGGGCATAAAAATATGACCAATGATAAAGTTTTCGGATAACAATGTCAACATGATTGTAGCAATAGCTTTTTTTCTTTGAAAAAGTAGAGCTAAAAATTTCTTAAAAAGTGGCATGACTATCAATTCTAAGGTTATAGCAGGGAAAACAAGAGCTGTCACCCAAGTGACGAATGCCTCTGAAAATGTCTCATTTATGCCTAGTTATTTTAAAATCATTTAACGCATGACAAAGTTACAGCCCAGACACGAATGTGTGTACCTATAAACTCTAATTGTGATAAAGTGAACTTCAAAATGGTTGTGTGACCTTGACCTTTGACGTAGGGATAAGATTGTTGGACGCAACACATCGTCTTGATGTTGTAGATATTTATGCCTAGTTTACTTTAATTGCTATAATGTGAAACTTCAAAATAATAGTGTGACCTTGACCTTTGAGGTAGGGACATGGTTCTTGGCCTCGACACATCGTCTTGATGTGGTAGACATTTGTGCCAAGTTATTTCAAATCCCTCAATGTATTACAAAGTTACAGTCCGGACATCTATGGTTATTTAATATGTGAAAGAAAAATTACAATCCTTCAATGCGTACTGAAGTTTCAGAGCGGACACAACCACCACCTTCTATATTTATATAACATAAAAAATGACAAAGTTTGAACCCCCACAGTGACCTTGACTTTAGTCGTAGGAACTTGAGTCTTGTTTGTGACACACCATACATCTATGGTTATTTCATATGCGAAAGAAAAATTAAAATCCTTTCATGCATACTGAACTTTCAGAGCACCCACAACCACCACCTTCTTTATTTATATAACATAAAAAATGACAAAGTTTAAACCACAACAGTGACCTTAACCTTAGTGGTAGAAACCCCCAAGTCTGGTTCCGGAGACACCATACATCTATGGTTATTTCGTATGTTTAGTAGAGGGCCATTGGCCCATTCTTTTGTCATGGAATGAACTTTTGTTCCGTTTACAGTTAGATGGCCCATCTTTTCCTTGTGGTAGTGTGGACAGACAGACTTATTGACAGCACCATTTGGCATATAAAAAAAAGGTCAAGGTCAATGGATTCCACTTCTAATTATAACAAGATTACAGGAGACAATTACCTCTGACAAATTTATTTTTTATGGTTTTAATGCCAATTTATCATTTTTTGGTCTTATCTTGACCGTTGATAAAACTAAACCTGCTTCCCTGGATAACTTACCAGGTACTATCAATATCTCTGCAAGAAAACAACTACAAATTTCAATATTATCTCTGAACAAGTGGTGTGATAAATGACTATTTGACTCGGTGTCTGAGATCTAAGTTGTCACAAACAAAATTTGCCTTGCATTAGGATCAAATAATGACTCCTGGATTACAAATCCCTATTGCGCTAAACAGTATGACAACTTACAAAGTAACATGGGGAGAATAATATACTTTTGTATAACTGCATTTCATATAAATTCAACAAGAAAAAAAATCAAGACTGAAATTTCTTTTTGCACATTTATTTATTTAAGATAATGTAATATAATCAGACAAAAATTCATCATCTTTAAATAAATGCAGCTTTCAAAAATGAATACTAGTGTACAATGCTGATGATAACACTAACATAACAGTATTACAGTAACACTATTTCATAACAGATGATGCTGAACATTTAACATTAGTAGATGCTTAATATGAGAAAGTTGTAAATCAAATTACAAGAGGTCTGTGGGAAAGTTGAAATACAACAAAAGAGGTATGCAGGGGTGTCAATGCATACCACAAGATGTATCCCGGAAAGTCAATGTATAACAATAGAGATATGCAGAGGTGTCAATGTATAACATAATAGGCATGCAGGGGTGTCAATGTATAACACAAAAGCTATGAAGGAGTGTCCCTGTATAACACAAGAGCTATGAAGGAGTGTCCATGTATCACACAAGAGCTATGAAGGAGTGAGTATGTAAAACACAAGGGCTATAAGGAGTGAGTATGTATAACACAAGAGGCATGCAGGAGTGTCCCTGTATATAACACAAGAGCTATGAAGGAGTGAGTATGTATAACACAAGAGCTATGAAGGAGTGAGTATGTATAACACAAGAGCTATGAAGGAGTGAGTATGTATAACACAAGAGCTATGAAGGAGTGTCCCTGTATAACACAAGAGCTATGAAGGAGTGTCCCTGTATAACACAAGAGCTATGAAGGAGTGTCCCTGTATAACACAAGAGCTATGAAGGAGTGAGTATGTATAACACAAGAGCTATGAAGGAGTGAGTATGTATCACACAAGAGCTATGAAGGAGTGAGTATGTATAACACAAGAGCTATGAAGGAGTGAGTATGTATCACACAAGAGCTATGAAGGAGTGAGTATGTATAACACAAGAGCTATGAAGGAGTGAGTATGTATAACACAAGAGCTATGAAGGAGTGAGTATGTATAACACAAGAGCTATGAAGGAGTGAGTATGTATCACACAAGAGCTATGAAGGAGTGAGTATGTATAACACAAGAGCTATGAAGGAGTGTCCATGTATAACACAGGAGCTATGAAGGAGTGAGTATGTATAACACAAGAGCTATGAAGGAGTGAGTATGTATCACACAAGAGCTATGAAGGAGTGAGTATGTATCACACAAGAGCTATGAAGGAGTGAGTATGTATCACACAAGAGCTATGAAGGAGTGAGTATGTATAACACAAGAGCTATGAAGGAGTGAGTATGTATCACACAAGAGCTATGAAGGAGTGAGTATGTATAACACAAGAGCTATGAAGGAGTGAGTATGTATAACACAAGAGCTATGAAGGAGTGAGTATGTATAACACAAGAGCTATGAAGGAGTGAGTATGTATCACACAAGAGCTATGAAGGAGTGAGTATGTATAACACAAGAGCTATGAAGGAGTGTCCATGTATAACACAGGAGCTATGAAGGAGTGAGTATGTATAACACAAGAGCTATGAAGGAGTGAGTATGTATCACACAAGAGCTATGAAGGAGTGAGTATGTATAACACAAGAGCTATGAAGGAGTGTCCATGTATAACACAGGAGCTATGAAGGAGTGAGTATGTATAACACAAGAGCTATGAAGGAGTGAGTATGTATCACACAAGAGCTATGAAGGAGTGAGTATGTATAACACAAGAGCTATGAAGGAGTGAGTATGTATAACACAAGAGCTATGAAGGAGTGAGTATGTTTAACACAAGAGCTATGAAGGAGTGAGTATGTATAACACAAGAGCTATGAAGGAGTGAGTATGTATCACACAAGAGCTATGAAGGAGTGAGTATGTATAACACAAGAGCTATGAAGGAGTGTCCATGTATAACACAAGAGCTATGAAGGAGTGTCCATGTATAACACAAGAGCTATGAAGGAGTGAGTATGTATAACACAAGAGCTATGAAGGAGTGAGTATGTTTAACACAAGAGCTATGAAGGAGTGAGTATGTTTAACACAAGAGCTATGAAGGAGTGAGTATGTATAACACAAGAGCTATGAAAGAGTGTCCATGTATAACACAAGAGCTATGAAGGAGTGTCCATGTATAACACAAGAGCTATGAAGGAGTGTCCATGTATAACACAAGAGCTATGAAGGAGTGAGTATGTATAACACAAGAGCTATGAAGGAGTGAGTATGTATCACACAAGAGCTATGAAGGAGTGTCCATGTATCACACAAGAGCTATGAAGGAGTGAGTATGTTTAACACAAGAGCTATAAGGAGTGAGTATGTATAACACAAGAGGCATGCAGGAGTGTCCCTGTATAACACAAGAGCTATGAAGGAGTGTCCATGTATCACACAAGAGCTATGAAGGAGTGAGTATGTATAACACAAGAGCTATAAGGAGTGAGTATGTATAACACAAGAGGCATGCAGGAGTGTCCCTGTATAACACAAGAGCTATGAAGGAGTGAGTATGTATCACACAAGAGCTATGAAGGAGTGAGTATGTATAACACAAGAGCTATGAAGGAGTGAGTATGTATAACACAAGAGCTATGAAAGAGTGTCCATGTATAACACAAGAGCTATGAAAGAGTGTCCATGTATAACACAAGAGCTATGAAGGAGTGAGTATGTATCACACAAGAGCTATGAAGGAGTGAGTATGTATAACACAAGAGCTATGAAGGAGTGAGTATGTATAACACAAGAGCTATGAAGGAGTGAGTATGTATAACACAAGAGCTATGAAGGAGTGTCCATGTATAACAAAAGAGGTATGAAGGAGTGAGTATGTATAACACAAGAGCTATGAAGGAGTGAGTATGTTTAACACAAGAGCTATAAGGAGTGAGTATGTATAACACAAGAGGCATGCAGGAGTGTCCCTGTATAACACAAGAGCTATGAAGGAGTGAGTATGTATAACACAAGAGCTATGAAGGAGTGAGTATGTATCACACAAGAGCTATGAAGGAGTGAGTATGTATAACACAAGAGCTATGAAGGAGTGTCAATGTATAACACAAGAGACATGCATATTCATAAATAACAAATGTCCATTGTGTGAAACAAGTTATGTTACTGCTAGACAATGCAATGAGGTATATACTTTAATCACATATGTAACCATTTAGTTCCAGTTTCAGAAAATTAATGTTTAATATATACTGATTTTTTTAAGTGTATACAAAGACTTCTGTCCTTCATAACATCTTTCTGTTTTTTTGAAAATTTTGTACAATAAGGTAAAGAATTATCTCCATAGCAACAAGATATGTATCACAAGCTTAACTTAAAATATCACTTTACAAATCAATGTTGTCACAGTTTCTTTGTTTATATCACATATATAATGTATGTACAATTACAGTTTTATAGACACAAGTTGACTGCCATATAAATCATATACAACTGACTGGGTATGTATGAAAATTCTCTTTAATGAATGCAGCCATTCACCATCATGTAATCTATTGATGTTCCTGTAATAAATGTAACTTATATAAACATTCATATCACATTTACTACCAATTACATATAAACAAATTCAAATCAAAAACAATGATACCGTATAAGTACTTATTTCTGCGGGCTTAAAATTCTGCGATTTTGTTTAAAATTAGGGGTTTAAATTTCTGCGTATCTTATTTCTGCGGTGTCATCATTCTCGCATTGATGTTTTTTTTATTTCTGCGTTTTAATTTAGATATTTTTACAAAATTAACCGATACAAACAGACAACATTTCAAGATATGTTGATTTAACATGTACATTACTTCCGGTAAACATGCAGACGATTTATAATGTGTGTTCATCGTGATCACCATGTATCGGTATATAAAATATGATAAACAAGATCAACAAGGAAAGGCGGCGTTCAATGAACGCAATTAACAAAACGTTAATAAACAAAAATCAACAACATGCAATGACAACAATTAATTGTAATACTGCATGTGTATAAATATGAAGTGTGAAAAATAAACAATGGTAATATCGCACTTAGACACAATATATTGTACAAATACAAAGGGGTATGTTTATTGCACCCGTCAAACTGTAATAGTTTTATTTTTAAAATAAATCAAGCTTAGGGTGAGCGAAAATCATACAAACATGATATTTTTTAAACAAAAAGAACAAGTAAAGTAACTTTTTTTCTAATATTTTATTCATGACGGATACATAAAGAACAAGAGGGCCATGATGGCCCTGAGGTCGCTCACCTGTGTATAGGCCCCCCCCAACCCCCCCCCCAAACGTTGCAGGGCCAATTTAACCAAAGGGCTTTTATTTGCACAACCTTGGTAGACACCCATAAGAAGATGTTTCATGCTAAACATCTAAGCTCTAGCTCATTGGGCTATTTAAAAGAAGATTTTTTTAAAGTTTTTACTATACACATATAGTTAAAAACAATGACACCCCTGGGGCGGGGCCAGTTTTGATCCCAGGGTTTTTATTTGAACAAACTTTGTAGACACTTACTAGAAGATGTTTCATGCTTAATATCTAAACTCTAGCTATTTGGGTTTTTTCAAAGAAGATTTTAAGTTTTTGCTATACACATATAAGGAAAATCAATGACCCCGGGGCGGGGCCAATTTTGACCCCAGGTCTTTTATTTGAACAAACTTTGTAGACACTCACTAAAAGATGTTTCATGCTTAATATCTTAACTCTAACTATTTGGGTTTTTTCAAAAAAGATTTTTTAAGTTTTTACTATATGCATATATAGGGAAAATCAATGACCCCCCGGGGCGGGATCAATTTTGACCCCAGGGCTTTTATTTGAACAAACTTGGTAGACACTTATAAGAACATGTTTCATGCTAAATATCTTAGCTCTAACTCTTTTGGTTCTTTAAAAGAAGATTTTTTAAGTTTTTACTATATGCATATATAGGGAAAATCAATGACCCCCCGGGGCGGGATCAATTTTGACCCCAGGGCTTTTATTTGAACAAACTTGGTAGACACTTATAAGAACATGTTTCATGCTAAATATCTTAGCTCTAACTCTTTTGGTTCTTTAAAAGAAGATTTTTTAAGTTTTTACTATATGCATATAGGGAAAATCAATGACCCCCCGGGGCGGGGCCAATTTTGACCCCAGGGCTTTTCTTTGAACAAACTTGGTAGACACCTATTAGAACATGTTTGATGCTCAATATCTTAGCCATAGCTCTTTGAGTTCTTTAAAAGAAGATTTTTTAAGTTTTTACTATATGCATATAGGGAAAATCAATGACCCCCAGGGCGGGGCCAATTTTGACCCCAGGGCTTTTATTTGAACAAACTTGGTAGACACTTATAAGAACATGTTTCATGCTAAATATCTTAGCTCTAACTCTTTTGGTTCTTTAAAAGAAGATTTTTTAAGTCTTTACTATATGCATATAGGGAAAATCAATGACCCCCTGGGGCGGGGCCAATTTTGACCCCAGGGCTTTTCTTTGAACAAACTTGGTAGACACCTATTAGAACATGTTTGATGCTCAATATCTTAGCCATAGCTCTTTGAGTTCTTTAAAAGAAGATTTTTTAAGTTTTTACTATATGCATATAGGGAAAATCAATGACCCCCCGGGGCGGGGCCAATTTTGACCCCAGGGCTTTTATTTGAACAAACTTGGTAGACACTCACTAGAAGATGTTTCATGCCAAATATCTAAGCTCTAGCTCTTATGGTTTTTTAAAAGAAGATATTTAAAGTTTTTTCTTTCGGTTGCCATGGCAACCAGAGTTCTGCATGGAATTAAACTCTTTGAACAATTTTTAAAGGTGACCACCAAAGGAACATTCTTGTGAAGTTTGGATGAAATTGGCCTTGTGGTTTATGAGGAGATGTCATTTAAAGTAAAAGTTTACGGACGACGGACGACGGACTACGGACGACGGACGCCGGACGAAAAGCGATCACAAAAGCTCACCCTGTCACTTTGTGACAGGTGAGCTAAAAATTATTCCCACCTACAAAAGCTGATAACGGTACATGGTAATGTAATTATACAATACATGTAGTTGACATATTCCGACATACATGTAGACATAGCGAAAGGCTTAATTTTCTGCGGTTTTTAAATCTGCAGTCTCGTTATAAACCGCAGAAATAAAGTTCCCGCAGAAAAAAGTACTTATACGGTACTTAACAAGAGCTGTTGAAAGGATAGCATGCTCAACTATTGTTAGTGCATGATAGTAAAACAAGAGCATGGAAAATGTAGAATTTTCTATGGTCAAAAAGAGCCAAAATTCTGTCAAACAAAACTCACCAATATGCCAACCATCTCTTAGACACAGAATTTTATGTAGGCCCATTTATCTTTAATTTTGAAGCTAAATTTGAAGCAGGTCCTTAAATGAGTATAAAACTTATAATGCAAAACCATCTGACATTTGAGCTTTTCAAGTGACCTTGACTTTGAACTAGCACAGCCACAGTAAAGGTTCTGCACATCACCTTGTTGATGTGGATATTTGAGCAAATTTTAACAAGGTGGAGATGTCTGTCCGATCCACCTTGAGCCAGCTCAAGGGTTGCATATGTCCTGCACATCACCTTGTTAAACATTTGAACCAAGTTCAAAGAAATTGTTGCAGGAATAAAGGTTTTAAAGAGTGGAAAATTGTCTGTCTGACATTAAAACTTTATCTGTGACCTTGACCTTAAGTCGGTACAGCAGTGGAAAAGGTTCTATACATATCAATGTGGAGGTAATCATTTTTAGCCATTCTTATAGAAAATCTTTCAAGTGGTATACTTATTGAGCGGACAAAAATAGTTTGACATCAGACCTTCAAGTAAAACCTTTGAGTCTGTTCATCAGTAAAATGGGTTTTGTTCATCACCTAGTTGAGGTGACCATTTGAGTCAAGTTTGAAGAAAATCAGTCATGTGTGTTGGATTTATATAGCTAACATAGTAGAAAACAAACCAACAATAATAAATAAACACTATTTAGATTTGTGTTGATCAAAAGTTAAGCTTACCTTAGCATGTACTTAAGGAGAAGGTCTACCTGCTCCAGATTTTTATCAGTGACAAGATCTACCATATATTTCTTTAATATTTCCTCATCATCTTCTTGTGGCACTACAATACAAACAAGAAACAGGTTTTTGTGACCTACTTATATTACCTTAGGGGCATTCCTGTTAAGTTTAGTCAAAATCCATAGTCTGGTTAAGGAGATGTAGTTTAAACAATGAACAATCACAAAGGTCAGCTCTGAGCACACCAAGACCTTAAATCAGTTCTAACAGTTTTTTAACAATGAGAATTCTAAAATTTTAAGTGCCACACAACACTTGCAGCAAGACCTGGTCTGTTTTTATAGATATAATTTGAACAAACTAAAAAAAAGTACACCACATCATATTTCACACCAAACATGCAACTTCCAAGAAGAAAATATTTTTTAAGTGCTATGAATATATTTTTAAGTGTTTCTTCCTATGTCAATGGGCTGGGCCAGATTTAACAAGCTTGATAAAGAGTTATTTTTAAACATTAAATATGTCATTTCTAAGCCTTCTAGTTTGAGATTTTAATACTTTTTTTCCATAAGTGTCTAAGTAAAATCAGAATTATCTCCAGAATGCAGGCAACTTTAACACTAGGGTGCTGAAAACTTTTTAGATCCTTGACTTTTATGTTCTGCATGTTCTGTTGTTATTGTTTTTTTATATTTCAGAAGGCTATATTAGAAATAAGATGATTGCTATTGTATATTCTTAATGTGTTACCTTCTCTAAATAAAGATATTATTATTATGTTACAGACTAACTTGCCCATGCGACCATGTGTATTAAGCGACTTTTGTCTTAAACTACCACTTTAAATTCCCCCGATCATTTTCTCTCTATATCTTTAATGTATTAAGCTACTTTTGCTCAACACGACCAGCGACCCCCAATTAGTCACCTAATTGAGATCAATCTTTTCCTTAAATAACCACTATAACCAGTCAAGTAATTGTGTTTTCAGAGAACGCCCCCTCGTAATGTCACAAGTGTCAACAATCAAAACACAACAAATAAATGTGTGAAAAACTCTATTTCCCAAACCATTTTAGTGTATGCAAATGAAGTTAAGTATATGTGTGACATGTATTATCCTATAATGAAGAATAGGGTTTTCGTGTTGGAGACAAGGAAAAACAACGGAGAAGTTAAAAAATTCTGGAAAAATGTGAAACATGTACGTAATAGATCAAAACTGTTTTGTCAATAAATATCAGAAAGTTATATTTTACATTAGCATCCATTTAGATTATCGGAGCGTACTAATTATTAAACATTTATATAAATGAAGTTGAAAAACATTCCCACCGCAAAAGAAAGATGTCATTTATTTAATTTTGACTTTTATATCATGCTTTTTCTTGAGAGACCGTTTCTTTAAGCGACCGTTTTGGGTGCTTCCCTTGCGCGGTCGCTTAATACACGTTTGATTGTATCTTGATCATTGAGCCAATAACCTAGGTCTTATACCTGTGAAATATTATACAATGAATTTCATATGTGACATTGTAAGGAAAATTTCATGCAGTATGTGATAAATATACACCAACGATAGTAAAATATTACAAATAACCAACAACAACAACAACAGTACATTTAATAACAAATCATATGTTACCTGGGGTTGAATGTATCCATTCCTTCAATAAATGTCTTACATCTTGTAATGTGACTGCACCACAAAGGTTTACACAACACACAGTTTCTGATGTATAATTAACTTCAGTACCCTCTATATCTCCTACACAAGAACTATTAACTAGTGTCTCATTATTATAACATTGTACATGTGATGAACTAGAAGTTATATCACCAACACCATTGCTAGCTGTTGTACTGGTTGTTTCTCTAGCACTGTTTAAACTTTCTGACACACTCAGGTGACTTGATGACTGCTATAACAAAAATATGATGATAACAAATAGAGGCAAAGTGATGGCAATCATATACTATCATAAAAATATGATAGTAAAGATTTCAGGCAAAGTGGTGGCAATCATATACTATCATAAAAATATGATAATAAAGATTTCAGGCAAAGTGGTGGCAATCATATATCATCATAAAAATATGATAGTAAAGATTTCAGGCAAAGTGGTGGAAATCATTTGATACTGGATATAGAAATTAAAATTTCTTCAAAATAATTGACATGTGTAATTCGGGTTATTTTGGCATTGTTAAAGACGTTTTCGGGAGTTTTCATATAGACATATAGGCAAAATTAAAACTGTTCAATAGAATTTCTTTAAACTTGGCATGTTGTTAGAATATGATAACAGAAACATTTTAAGCGAAAAAAAAATTGGGGTCACCGTTCTCGTTTTTGAGTTATCTGCCCTTGAATTGGACTTTTTTGTTAAATTCAAGGGCAGATAATTTACAATGAAGGGAAACAATACAATTTTTTTTCTTATTTTCATGAAGCTTACCTTCGTTTTAGTTGATATGCAAAATTTCAAGAACAAATTTAGAGTGGGTAGTTTTTATTCCCACTTCTTCTTTTAACCTGTGCATTTTTTCTTAAAAAATGGCCTATTTTTTAAGAATTTAAAGTACCTTTATTTTCATTGAAAAAAATTAACAGAAACGATGTAAGGAATTGCATGTTATTATGTATTGTACTCAACAATAAAAAGAAAAACATAATCCAGAAGTAAAATCAAGAATTCATTTAAGTATGTATAACTTATCTGCCCTTGAAATGACCTCAAATAAGTAGAAAAGTCTGATTCAGGGGAAGATAACTCAAAAACGAGAACGGTGACCACAATTTTTTTTTTCGCATAAAATGTTTCTGTTATCATATAACAACATGCCAAGTTTAAAGAAATTCTATTGAACAGTTTTAATTTTGCCTATATGTCTATATGAAAACTCCCGAAAAACGTCCTTAAGTCTGTTTTTATTTGCCAGACATTAAAGGCATATTATGCCTCAGAAATCAATATTTTTTAATTCTTTAGAAAGGTTAAAAATGTTTGGATAATATTTTGATATAATGAATTTAGAGCATCTTTAGAGCTGAATGTGCAGTAATGTGTTGTAAAGGTAGCAAAATGTAAATAAAGTAGTATTTTGACTTCCATACAAAATACCACTTCCATACAAAATACTAACTCACTATACAAGCTACACCAATTACCAATCTCTGTAAAATGGTCAAAAACAGTATCTCTATCTTGATAAACCATGCATTATTTTGAAATTAAAGTTAAATATTTTACCTGTTGCACTGCCCTAGCTTGATCCTTAAAAAGAGTTTTCTTGGAAGTCCCCTTTTTACGTCCCCTTCCACTTGGCTTGCCTCTTGGTATTTTAAAATTTGGACTGCTTTTACCAGGTGACCTATGAAATAAGTCAACATTAAACTAGAGCAGGAATGAGGAAATACTTCCACTTCTGCACAGAGACAGAATTTTATGATTGTAATATTTTTGACGATAAATTTTACTGCAACTGCATGTAGATCTGAAAGTTATTATCCCACATTAGTAAAAATTTTATGTTTATATATAAAAGTAATATTAAAACAAATTGTCATTACAATAGATTAAGGCCAATAAAAGCCTTTGAAACAACCAATTATTTTTACAAATCAATTCCTTTAAAATTAAACATTTGTTTAATTAAATAGAAATCTACCCTGTTTTTTCATATACCAATAAAGAAAAATATATGAATGAATATAAATAGCAGGGATCGGCAACTGAGATAGAAATAACTATCTGATAAACTTCATGTTTGACCTTGACGCCAGTTGAATAGGTCAATCACATTATTTTGTTGAGGTAAACAATTTAGCCATGTTTTTGAAGAAAATCAGTCAATGTGTACAGGAATTATATCAGTCAATGTGTACAGGAATTATATCAGTCAATGTGTACAGGAATTATATCAGTCAATGTGTACAGGAATTATATCAGTCAATGTGTACAGGAATTATATCAGTCAACATATACAGGAATTATATCAGTCAATGTGTACAGGAATTATATCAGTCAATGTGTACAGGAATTATATCAGTCAATGTGTACAGGAATTATATCAGTCAATGCGACAGGAATTATAGATCAGACACAAAACATCTGACCCTTGACTAACAAACATGACCTTGATCTGGTACAATGGTGACAGGAGTTCCTAAGACAAGTTTGAAGAAAATCCACCAAAGGGGTAAGAATTATAGAGCAGACACGAAATTCTTCGAAATGACTTTCAATTGTGACTATGACCTGGCGAGATGGTGGCAAGAGTTCTTCACATGGCCCTTTTCAGTTGAACATTTGAGCCAAGTTTGAAAATATTAGTCTTGGGTGTAGGAGTAGAGTGGACACAGTGGAGAGTCTGGAGACTAGATGACCCAATGAAAAACCGATGGGACAAAGGAATTCAAGTGTAGCCCCCTCTACATTATGTTGTGAGGGTATCATAAACAAGGTCTCAATAACCAAAGGTCATTCCACTCACAAACACTCAAAAATATTCTTGAATTTTTTTGGGAAGACCATGTAATCATAGAACACCCTCAGAATGTAAGAGACAGAACTTGCATGTTGAACCATTACAAGTTTATCAAGGGGTTATTTTCAGTGAAAATCTAGTAAGTATATTATGTCTTGTAACAGGATCTACAACAATGATAAGTGAAGACAACTGTGAAGCTTAAAGAGAAGCAAACATTTAACTGTATCAGCATCAAGGTTAGCAGGATAAACCCCACAGTCACTATACTTTGAAAAGTAAAGCAAACATATTATCATGAGGTACATTCTAAAATATTGTACTGTGAATCTATTATAAACTGCATACAGTATAACTTTTAAAACCATTATAAACAAATACCTCTTATTTGGTGACTTGGCAGGAGACTTTGCCTGTTTCAATTGCAATGTGTTACCTCCCTTTGTTGTCAGTTTAGAATTCTGTCTAGCATAAGCTTGTCTCAGTTCTGCCTGCAGATTTTCTGGTAATGCTTCCAGACAACTTAAATCTATCTATATAATAAATAAATCACAGATTAAAACATCTCAGTTCAAAGAAAGTTTTTTCCATCTGTTCAAAATATCATACCATATAAATAGTAATACAAATCTACAATGTATTATCAAATGCAAAATTTCTTGAATATATGGAAGCAAAAGTAATTTCTTAAACACATCATGTTTCCTTTCTTATAAATATTAGTAATTTTTATGTGTCTGTGTCTGAAGTGACATATAAAATTGGGCTATCCAATGTTCTGTTATAGGAAGTCACCTGAGACGGCGAGGGTAAAGCAACTATGACATCCTGAGCATGTCCATCTACCTCACTGTGACTGTGTTCTGATCTATTGTTAGTCTGTTGTTGCCAATGGGAACAACTAGCATCTGTAGATTGAGATGTCCTCATGTTCCTTCTTACTGGCCCCGCTCTTCTTTGTTTCACTTCTCTCTCAATTTGCTCTCTTATTTCAGAGGGAAGTTCACATAAAACATCTGGGTCAATCTGCAAATATATAAAACAGATTTATTTAGGAAATACTATATCATCCAACATTGATTTTATCACTAATTAATATCACTGTTTAGAGTTTGAATGCAAGGAATTATATAATGAGGGGGTAGCCCTAGTCAAAATGATGCGAATCCAAACAATTGACAGTGATTTTATCAAGGTATAAAATCACTACTTTGAATATATCATTTTGATTCTAACATATCAACAAATAAATCCTGCCATACCTGATATCAACCTAAATTGCGCCCAATTTATTTCCGTACTTATTTCCAGCGTGTTGCTTTTTTAATGAATATGTCACATGTCTAAAAATATAGATCATTGTGATTTTATTGCATATTTACACAAATTTTCGGTCCTTCTATGTTAATAAGGAAAAATGAAGGTCTTGTTAAAGTGTTCAATATTCAAAGTATAAACAGATGTATATTTCAATATGACAATGTATAAACAGATCTACCTTAACGCTCAAATAGCTGTCAATTAACCAAGTCAAACTTGTGAAAAAAGAACAAGAAAAAGAAGTTGTTTTTGTACTGGAGAACAGGAATGAAAAACTGATTTTCTTGTTAGCACAAGTTATTGTGTATAGGTGTAAATCTTAATAATCTGAATTAGTTTACTTTTAAGATTTGTAGCCTTGTTTTCATTGGAATCTAATCGGGGAAAATATCTTTATCATACTTGTACAAAATTCTCTGAATCTGTCTTGCAAGCACCTTTATTACTACAAGCTGATGGATATACAGTCTAACTGATCCAAAACAGTTTATCTCTAGTTTTGTTACAAGAAAGTTATAAAACTTTGCCGTATAGAAATGAAGATATATTGTACCTGTGAAGGTGATGGGAAGTAATCAATATCTGAAGGTGGGTGTGGCTCTATCTCTGGGGTGTGACATTTCCTAGTTTTCCTTCCACTATCTGGAGTTCTAATATCTGGTAGGCAGGGTAATGGTGGTAACGATACATCTACTCTCTGTCTACTGTATACAATATATAAATCAGATAAAATCATATTTAAATCTGAACTAATAACCAATAGTCTCTAGGATGGCACATTTTTCAAAACAAAATTTTCAAAAACTACAAGAAACTCCATAATTATAGTTCTATATAGAAAATCAAGTTTAAAACCAAGACAGTAACACCAAATGACAGTTATAGCAAAGATACAGTATAGCAATACATGTGCCAGCTATTGATATACATTTTAGGGAAGAAGATTACATATAAATAAAATGTAATGATTATAAAAATCTGGAAGATGAGTGATCCCTTAGAAGCATTTATCACAAAAAAAATACAAGAAAATTACAAACTCAGTTTGATCGATAATAAAAAAGTGCAATATCTCTCATGCCCCAAACACCGGCTTGAGCTGAACTCAAATTTCAACACTTAAAGTGCTGGAATCAATGATCCAGAAGGATCTTGATCAAAATACAGATCATGCTGATTATCATTCAGGTAGCCAAAATGTATATATAAACACAAACAAGAATTCATTCAGGAGCTTCTCAAATTCTCAGACACTTATTTTCATTGTTTTTTTTAATTATTGCACACTGGATTAAACAACTGTTCTGTCGTTCTGTCAATAACTATAAGGTCAATATATCTTTATAACTTCTAATATATACACAAACCTGACTAAATCTTGCAGTAAGTCCTGGTCACTTGAGGCAGGTAATCTGGACTCTACCTCAGATTGTACAAGGTCTATAACTTCAGCTTCAGTACTCTCTGTATTCTCAGACATCTTGTTTGTATCCATTATCTCATTACCTGCTTCACTAACTGCATTTTTATCACAAGACAGCATCCGTTTATCTGTTACAAGTTTACTAGGTGTACCATGTTTCCTTCTTATTTCTGTATGTCTAGTTTCTACATTTACCCCCAGTTTATCTCCTACTGTTTCTGCAGCATTTGACTGTTGTTTGGTTGTTTTGTTAGGGCTGTTTGATTTTACAGTAAAGTTAAGAATACTCGGAATTTTCTTGTTATTACCAGTACAACCAACTTCAGCAGGTTCAAGTTTGTTTACTTGTATTCCAATCTGTAAAATAAAAAACTTAGTTTAGATACTGAGCAAACATATTAATATGTTAACAGTTAATAATAAAAGAGCTTTCATATCATAAACGTTTTTGTTTTGTTTTTGCTTTAAAGTATTATTGACAGGTTATATGACCTAGTATTCACAGTTGTTTGGTTATATGTTAAGTTTATATGCTAAGCTTATAAAGCCAAAAATCATTTATACACCACAATATAACCTGTGAAAATTATTCATTACACAATGTGAATATCACACAATTAGTTTCTTTGATAAAAAAAAAGAAGAGAATTTTGGAGCCATGTATATAGATCAAACTAACTTTGTGGCTGTCTGTCGTCAGTAAATAACATGTGAAAACAAAAATTATAACTAGAACAATCACTAAATGTGATTAATAACCCTGCAAGACTGCTTCGGAAATGAGGAAGTTACTAGTAACAGAAAACCTTGCAAAAGAATTGAAATAGAGTTATGGATGTGGGCAGTTAAAGATAGTTGTGGCTCTTGTATGTTGCATTTCCTTTCAATGTGGCTGACCATTGATGAAGTTTTGTTGAATTACTCTGTAATAAGCCAAAAAGAGTTACGCTTCTTGAGCACTGCACTTCCTCTCATTGTGCTTGACCATTGTATGAAGTTACATTGAATTCTAAACATTAGTTTTTAAGTTATGCACTTGACAAGGAAAAGGAACAAAGGGCAATAACTCTACAAATACTGAAGATGGAGTTATGGTTATTGTATGCTGCACTTCCTCTCATTGCGCTTGACCATTGTATGAAGTTGTATTGAATTCCAATACTAGCTTTCAAGTTTTGCACTGGACAATAAAAAGTAACAAAGGGCAAAAACTCTTAAATGAGTCAAGAAAGAGTTATGGTTTCTGTGCACTGCGCTTTCTCTCAATATACTTGACCATTGTATGAAATTGTATTGAATTCCAACTAGTAGTTTTCAAGTTATGCTCTGGACAAGAAAAAAGCAATGGAAAAGTAACAAAGGGCAATAACTCTATAATTACTCTGGACAGAGTTATGGTTCTTGTGCACTGCACTTCCTCTTATTGTGCTTGACCATTGTATGAAGTTGTTTTGAATTCCAACCAGTACTTTACAAGTTATGCTCCGGACAAGGAAAAGTATCAAAGGGCAATAACTCTGTAATTAGTCAAAGATGGAGTTATGGTTCTTGTGCACTGCACTTCCTCTCAATGTGCTTGACCATTGTATGAAGTTGAATTGACTTCCAACCATTAGTCCTGACAAGGAAAATGCAATGGAAGGCTGGATCGACCGACAACCTAGTGACTCCTATATACCCCCCCCCCCCAAAAAAACAAACTTCCTTTCAGGGGTTTAATGATAATTTCATTCTAACACCTTTGGTAAATAAAAAGCCAATATAATATTTATAAACAACTCTAAGGAGACACTGGTTTTTCCTTCAGTTGAATACAGTTCAATCACGATTTACTTTGATAAACCATTACTGTGCAAAATTTGTGTGATGGACTTAATATGCTTTATCTAAATTGTAAATTTCAGGAAATTAATATGCAAAATAATAAATCTATAAAGATAAGAGTATAGACTGTGTTGAGACTGGTAGACTAGTGTTCATTGGTGCCTACTTTATATATTTTACTGCACTGAAATAATCATGTACGATGTACACCATTAAAATTAGTCACTTAATTAAAACTGGCTTAGAACAATGTTAAGAGTTAAAGCAACTTAAGATGGCCACTAATGATCTTTGAATAAGTTGGTTGGGATCTTGACAAATAATAATTTCACTTTAGCACTTTATAATTTGTATATTATTCAATGGACCTAGCCTGTTTACATTTGAAACTGTCCATAAGTACATAAATGACTTTCATTTTATTTACTAAAACTGATCACCTAATGGTACAAGAGCCTGGTCAGACTGTACTAATGTGTGCAGGCTGGCCCGACTCTATACCTTGCAGTTTTGGTTCAAGAATTACATGGGTTAAAAAAATCAAGCTTTGTTTGGCATGTAACTACAAGGTTATTTACCCCTCTAAGATCTGCAGCATCCACTTTATGAGACCTCAGTAAACCTATAGTTTCCTTGGCAACTATTTTTGTATCATCTGTTGCCATAGGTAGAGTGACTGATTTAGAAAAGTTGTTACATATACCATGACCTGAAAAATGTAAATATATCACTTTACATGCCGCGTCATGACAAAACCAACATAATAAGTTTGTGACCAGCATGGATCCAGACCAGCCTGCGCATCTGCGCAGTCTGATCAGGATCCATGCTGTTCGTTATCAGTTTCTCTACTTGTTAAACGGTTTGTAAGCAAACAGCATGGATCCTGATCAGACTGCGCAATTGGTCTGGATCCATGCTGGTCGCAAACCCATTATGTTGGTTTTGTCGTGACACGGCTCATTTATATCATTCATAACCCAGTAGAATTTAGTCGTGAAAAAGATGTAAAATTCAACTTTAAACTGTCTATCTGAATTTAAAGAAAGCACTGCAAGTATTTACAAGGAAATTATCACAAACAAATTTTTACAGAATTTATGACATCTTTTACTTATTAGTATAAAACTAATATTTTGAATTAAACCACCAAATTTAAGAAACTATACAACATTAAGGGCAAATTATTTACTTTAATGTCTTTACCCATGAACTTGGAAGTATGTTTTGGAGCATCTTCTCTCCTCACCATTAGTTTCAATGTAATTGTTTTACCCTTCATATGTATACCCTTCAACCTGTTACATACTTCCTCTGACAACTCCTCCATGAACTTAGTCGCTTCACAATCCTGTACAAATATATGATCTACTTATGTCAACATATTTCAGCCATGAACTTAGTGGCTTCACAATCCTGTACAAATTCATGAACTACATATGTCAACATATTTCAGCCATGAACTTAGTAACTTAACAATCCTGTACAAATATATGAACTAAACATGTCAACATATTTTAGCCAGGAACATTGTAACTTCACAGTCATATACAAATATATGAACTACTTATGTCAACATACTTCAGCCATGAACTTAGTGGCTTCACAATCCTGTACAAATACACAACTACATATGTTAACATATTTCAGCCATGAACTTTGTAACTTCACAATCCTGTACAAATATATGAACTACTTATGTCAACATACTTCAGCCATGAACTTAGTGGCTTCACAATCCTGTACAAATACACAACTACATATGTAAACATATTTTAGCCAGGAACATTGTAACTTCACAGTCATATACAAATATATGAACTACTTATGTCAACATACTTCAGCCATGAACTTAGTGGCTTCACAATCCTGTACAAATATAATTATGAACTATATGTCAACATATTTCAGCCATGAACTTTGCTGCTTCACAATCCTGTACATATCTTGAAAACCCTACTTAAATACATGTTGGTGAGCTTACTAAGGTTTGCTTAAATAAACAGTATTTACTATCAGTATCATACTTATAAACATGAATGTATGCTTACTGTGTCAAACCTGATCCCATAATTCACTTCAGCTGAGACAGACTTCCTCTGTTGCTCCATTTTGATTGGTCGATCATCCTGACCTCTACAGTACCTAAACAATGACTGACCTGTTTTTGGACCAAACTCCTTCTGAAGAGTATCTAGAGCAACTTTCTGCAAGTCATCACATGTAACTACTTTCATAGCCTCAAATCTCCTAGTCGTAGAATAACCTACACCTGTTTTATATATAAACAAACATAATATATACCAGGAATGTTGAAAATTTAATCATTATATCAGTGCAGGGTCTTCTTTTAGTTGAAGTATAAATAAACGTATCTAAATCAAACACCTGTATGTGGTTAATATGTTCATTGAACAAGACCTGTCCGTGCACAGTGTGCTCCACTCTTCTCTAGACTAAATACACTGTAGCAACATAAAAGCAACATAGGAAAAGGGGCATAACTTTGCAAAAAGTTTAGGATTATCTCCCCTTTCTAAATGGCATTTTTTAATGACAATAAACATGTAATCCAAGACTGAAGTAAATAGATCTTACAGTTTCTGATAAAATGGACCTTAACGGAAAGTTAATCAATGTCAATGCTTAAACTTACAAGAGGGTCAAGACAATAGGTCCATTTAGCAAGTGGTTATTTTCTTTTTTAAAAGACATCTTATTATACTTGGATAAACACTTATTTTAAAGGGACTCCAAGTTTTTTGACATGATGGGATTTGAAATCTTTTTGAAGATTTCTATAAAATTTGATGACATATAATTTGTGTGCAAATTTTCAGATTATTCCCGCAATCTGTTCTTTCAAAATCATCATTTTGACCAAAAAATGAAAGCGTTGCAACACTTTTCACTCGTATCACCATTCCCTAACATTATTTCCTTTATCTCCTCTTATAACCATATCAAAAAAATCTATTTTCAATTTCATTTTGGATATATTTTCTTTATCATCCTTTACAGATTTTTTCCATTTTAAGTGCTACACATAATCTATGTAAGAATTTCAAATTTTATGTTTTGTATACTTTTTGACCTCTGTGGTACTCCTTTAAAGCACACTTATTAAGATTTCAAAATTTACAGTTGTTTTTTATTGGCAAGGTTTATTACTAGTAAAAAAAAATATACAAAGAAAAAAGAGCACCTATATCAGTAACTACCTGGTAAATCTTTGACTGGCTGTGATTTAATGTAATCTGAGACAACATCTTCTGTCAGGTAGAATTGACCGTTAGGTTTAGCCTTCCTTGTTGCCATCCTGGCTAGTAGTATACTTGATCCTAGAAAAACAGCAGAAACAATGTAAATATATATATATCACCATTCCCTCACATTATTTCCTATATCTTTTTCTCATTATCATATCAAATGTCCATGTAATATTTAAACAATTTTACAAATGAATGTTATTCATAATAAATATTGTTGTGCCTAAACATCAGAAACATTTATACAAATATATGATCATTTTTTCCCTAACATTTGTGATTTTACAAAATACTTGCCCCCATCCCACACCCACCAGCACTTACCAATGCCTGCTGATGCTGGACACTGTGTTTGTTGGAAGAGTTGAGAACGAAGTAGTGTGGCAAACTCTAGAGGTGTGGCTCCAGTATCTGCCAGTAAATCTGTACAATCAACTAACATCTCGTCACAACTTACAGCCTCTATATCATGTGTAAAACTGTAAATATAATCAACCTATCATTAACTATTACCAATCTTTTTTAAATAGACTTGTGTGGCTACCATCACTTCACAACTTTGGTCCAGAAAGAATGGAAATAAGGGGAGGTAACTGAATTTGAAAAACAAAAGATCCATAAACTTAATTAATATTCATGTGATTTAATTTAAAGGAACAAAGTTAACAAAGAAGAAACATAAGATCACCTTGCTACAGTATCATATAATGTTTTAGAGACTTGTTTGTAGCCATCAAAGTCATAAGGTATTGTGACAAGGTCTGGACATATACTCTTAGCTCTACCCATAAACATACCATTCTTAACACCAGCCTGAAATCATATAACATATTCATATACAGTCATTTACATTATAATAATTACTTCATCAATTGAAATTCTATTATCTTTTAAGTTTATGCAAAGAAATAATGATAAGCACTTGGACCATTTAGCTGTCATACTGGCTTAACTTTCATCAATATGAACAAATCATTCTCAGAGACACATTTTTTTTCTTTCTCTTTTTTTTTATTAGGTCGGTTTTAGTTTTAGCAACATTATTATTTGTTGGGTAGAAATACAATTAATCTACTTGTTTCTTTACCTGCCTTGCTTCATAGCTGCAAGAAGCTATCTCAGCCATTGAGTGGAATGATTCTACTGTCGTCATAGTAACAGCACTGACAGTATTGATGACATCATCTGTGACATCATCATCAGAGTCAGACTGATCTGGAAATGTCATATCATCTAAAACAAGAATAATAAATAGACTTTATTATTTATAATATCTTTATGTTTTCGTTAAAATAGCAATGTCAAAATTATTTATCAAATCGGGAAGATCTTCACAAGTGATTACAAAATTCTTTTGTAGAGACCAAAATACATGATTTCATACATCAATGAACACTGCACCCTTATCAATGTTTTGATGGATACATTATATCAGAGAAGTAGATTTTTTAAACTTTTTCTTTTGCGAAGTTTATCATTTTTCTTATATATAACAGTAATATTTACAAAATAATATTTGGTTCTACAATTTTCTTATTTTAAATGATAACAAACGGTTTAACTGTTACAAAACAATACAGTTATATCTCATGTATATGGGTTGGGTAAGCAATTAAGTTCTACCTGTCAACAACCAGATCTCGAAATGAGTGTTATAAATAAGAACCGCCTTTACATTGGGATGAGAGCAACAGACTAACTTCGGAATTAAGAATATTTGTTTTTCCCCAACTAAACTGTAGGTACAAACTTTTACAGTTACAGCTTCAAACATAAGCGCAACAGGCCGACTTATCTATTGTGAACAGTAGTGCATCATTAAGCTATAACGGTAAAAGTTTATACCTACGAATTAGTTTGGAAACACCCACATGTCATTTGTTGAGTTCCGTATAACATCTATTCTAAAATAGACAAAACCAACTAATATATTACCATCTAAACTGCTTGTGTCGACTGGTTTAATTGTTTTCTTGCCTTTGCCTCTTCTCTGTAACTTTTTCTCCTCCCACTGACGTCTCTCCAGTACCGGATCAGCTAACGGGTCAGGGGTTTGACTTTTACCCTTGGAATGTGTTACAGCTACAGGTTTACCTATACACAAAATTATTACTTGTTAACTCTTATTATAGAAATGCTTTGATCCAATAGTCATATTATAAAATTGTCTCCTAGGTATGTAGTGTACAAAGGTTGACAATGTTTAAGTATTTGGTGAGCCTAATTTCCCTATCCATTTATAACATGATACTAGTTTAAAAATTTGGACTAATGATTCTAAAAAGGACAGAAAATTTCATTTTAATCTGTGGGGGATAACAACTGAAGTGTTCTGTGAATGAAATGGTATATTCATTTCCAAACAGCATGTAGACCTGATTAAACAAGAGCCGGTTGAAGCAGGTGATGCTCCCCGAATAGGTTTTGGACACAAAAAGTATACCTCTTGTAGTTTCAGAAAAAGTCCAATATAAGGCAAGGCAGACTTATGATTCTTTTGCAATGCTCATCTACCCAATGAGATACAGTTGACTCTCGATAACTCGAAATCCAAGGGACTGGGCATTTTACTTCGAGAGAAACGGAATTCGAGTAACGTGGATCTGCCGCCATTACATTGACATTCGTACATGTATATACATGTACCTGATTGAATGTGCAAAGAAGTATGTTTGTTATTGTTGATAACGGCAATGCTGCAATATTTAACCGTTGAAGTGACTGTAAATCACTTACAAATGCAAATTATAAATTAACAAAAATATATTATTCAAAATTTAATACATGGATATTAATAGTGAAATATAAACACAAGCATTCGTAGCAATGACATAAATGCAAGTTTGTCAGTATTCATCAGTAACGCACATGCTTTTAATACGCACTCATGATAATTAATTACAATAAAAGCACAATAACACATTCATTTCAACAACAATTTATCTAATGTTTGAAGTAAATTGATCATCGGACTAAAACTAAAGTAGCAACTATCGTGAACCGGAAGTACATATTAATGTATGCAATATGACGGAACATTAATTATACAAATGTCATTTACGTTGAAAACACACATCAATACCTAGGCAGGCACAATTAAATCAATTAAATCTTGAATTACTTATCTAACTGTTAAAACTAATTAAGTCCTAAATCCGGTTAAAATCTACCTACAAAGTTTCATGTAAATATCTTTAATAGTTTTAGGTTTTAGAGTTATGTACTGGACAAAGTTCAAAGTGTAATAAAAACAAAGGAAAATAACTCCCAAAATTAGGCAAGACAGAGTTATGGATCTTTAACACTGCATTTCTACTACACAATGAGATCTTACTACCTACAAAGTTTCATGTTGATACCTCTTGTTGTTTCAAAGTTATGTCCCCCGACAGGAATAGCGAACGGACAGACAGACATGCCACTTAAATGGACCAAGGGGCCATTTCTTTTGTTTAAAAGAGGGCCCTGGCCCCTTATTCTATTGTTTACAGTTACATGGCCCCCTACTTCTCTTAAATAGCCCAAACGGAAGGACAAAGCAGCGACTATATGCTCATCCTTTGGGGAGCATTTAATCAATATCACCATTACATAAGATTTGTAAATATGAGGAAAATACTTAGCTACAGTATTTTTACCACCCCAATGGTATTTTTACTGTAAATCACAAGCCTGTGTCATTTACATGTATCTTTTTATTACTCTCAACAAATACTGAAACTTTCAACTAACTGTTCTTCAATACAGTTTGATATCTAGAAGCCATAAAACATACAATGAGCTATTTGTAACTCAAACTACTTACCCATTTATATGGATTATGAGCTAGATTAAATCTGATCTTATCAGATGTTTATTTTTTACTCCCCATTCTTAACAATATGCAACATGCTACTCATGAATGTTGTTTTACATCTGTCCACCACAGGTGTAGTGCTTTAAGAATTAGCGGCATTGATATAATTCTTTCAATCAAAGTTTGTTGCATGCTTAAAGTGTCTTCTCTTTTTTTTTTAGATTGAGTTTAACATAGCACCAACACAGTATAGGTCATATGGTGACATTCTACCTTTACTGGTGGAGGAAGACCTTAGAGGTGCCCCTTTTGTACATTATAACAGGCACCCCGAGTAGAACCACTGATTTTATGTAAGCTAACTGGATAGCTTTGTCACAAGATAAATCTGAAGATGCTAGCCTGGCTTGAAACTACAGCAGTGAGAGGCCAGTGGTTTGAAGTCAACAACCTTAATCACTCTGCAACCCACTGCCCCTTGAATTGTCTTGTTGTTCAATGTTTTGATAAACATTCTCTTCATGCAATACTTTCGCTGCGGATAGGATGTTCACTTTTTCGCTATTCAACCAAATTAAAAGTGGTTTTAGACGAAAAATCAGTGTAATAGTGCCAATGTCTAAGTCATATGGTACACTTTTATTGACAATAAGAATTATTCTGATTGGCTAATTTGAATTTAACATTACAAATAAGTGATGGGTAATAACATTAAAAAAACCTCTCAAGTCTGGTCTCTTCCTCAGTCCAACAGAAACAAAGAAACAATCCATATCTATGTGCATCACACATCTTGATGGTTTTCCTCTCCTTTTGTTTGATAAAGGTTCATCAGGAGTTACTGCCCTTTCCTGAACAATCTGTCTAAGTTGTTCCCTGCCTGGAAAATTACCTCCCTTTACCTGTAGCTCATTGACATAATTTTTCCATTCTGCTTTCCAAGTAGATAGGTAGTGTAGCCTCGAGTTGCTGTAAAACTCATTTAGAAATTTAGGATCTCTGGCATCTGCAGTCTTCCCAGGGGAGATCACTTTAACACTCTTATTTAATTTACCATCACTAATATCTTTAACTTGAGTTTTTCCACAGGAAACTCCATTTCCACTGTTTGTGCTGCTGATTCTATTTAAAGAACTGTCTTTAACGTAAGTGGACAATGAAATATCACTAATGTTACTATCTTTAGATTGGAAACTCCCCTCAGACTGGTTACTGTTCTCTGTTGATGTGGTAAATGTATGTAAACCCTTCTGTAATCCACATTGCGCTGTATACAGCTGATATTTTGCATATGAAAGAAGCTTTCCGGCAGCAATACTGTTCAGATAAAGGAAATTTATCACTAACCACTAACCAGCTTTCATATAACAAGTACTAAAACACATGGCTTTAAAAAGTTCTATCAGAATTTTTTTTTCACACTAATTCACATGCTGAACTTGAGACTTGTGTAGACAGATGTCTGGCACCCCACCCTGCATTTTTCAAACAGTAGCAGATAAACGAGTAGAACCACCAACTTAAGCTGAACATAAAGTCCCTGGCAGCATTTTAACCTTAGAGAGGCGAGGAGCAAGTTACTTTAAATCAGCAATCTTAATCATTTAGTATAAAGATGTTATGGTATTACATGCATGTCCATGCCGAAATTTGTCAAAAAGCATTTCAATTTGTAAAAGATAACCTTAAACATTGTATGCTGAGGCTTTTTCATCAATATATAAACAAATGAAGGACCAAAACATTGTTTATACACAAGAGAAAATACAAAAACTTAATTGAGATTTGTTCGGGATATTCAAACCTTTCAGTGATCCATTCAGGTCGGACAACTTTTAATCCTTTCAACTCCTTCACCTTACTGTTAGGTAAGTTTGTTGCTATAACGTGGGTGACACGGGTTCGATACAGATAATGTTCATAATTACCCCCATGTAACATCATTAATCTCTTCAACTCATCAGATGATGGTTCTATATAAAGCAAAGAGATAAAAAGATAATGATTTATGTTTACATGTGTATTCTGTAAACGCTATATTACACTACCTCTTACATTTGAGATAAGTGTCAGGTGATTTTCTAAAACAAGATGGATAACTCGTATGTTGCTCAAAACTCCAGAGACAAGATATTAAGAATGTTGATTCATACAAAATTTATTTTAATTCAATTGTGTAGGAAGCTATAAGCTTACGGACACACTTTTGAAACTGTTCCTGGAACCAATCAGCAATGAGCAATGAATGTAAAGTTTCTTGCTCAAGGAAACAACTTGTCCCCTTAAGAGTGTTGTTTTTTTTTAAGAAAATTTATGGAATGACTATCCAATGCTGGCATAAAATGGATCATTTTATTGTAATATTCATGTATTTGCTTTAAATTACAAATTAAATGTAAACTTACTTGTGTAACCATTCACATATATACTTATGCCAGCAAATATCTTTGAGCCACTGCCTTCCTTCTTCAACTGACCTGGGGCATCTTCATCAAATTGTTTTTGTAACTTCTGTT